GCACAGCGTCTATGCATGGAGTGCACCAATCGATTGATGAAGGCCATTGGCACCTGGAACCACACTCTGAGAAAGGCCTGGCGCAATAAATCGGCTGTGTTCGGCCTTGGTATGACATTATTCAGTCTCCTCTGAATTTCATCCAAAAGATGTTCAATTGTTTTTAAATCAGGACTACAGTCCGTTCGAGTCAGAAACGGACCGATGAATTGCAAATTTTATCATTGTACAAACTTGCCACATAAATATAAATAGTACACATGTTTATCATTTACTAATACCCAACAGCTTTCTAATGTTTGAAAATTTTCCGGACTCCACCAAAAAAGTTGTTTAAGAAACTATCATCATTGAAAACGCAAAAGTTGTTATCTGTCGCAGCGGGGTGAAACCGCAGAAACGGAACAGCCACTATCTCGTCGTGCACGGGATACACATGCCTGATGAAAAATTAAGTTGAATGCTGACGTGAAACAGTTGATGATTAAAGTGTACGATTATTTCACTCTGGCGACTCTTACACTCTTCCGGGTATCGTTATAAGAAATTTCGGGGGAGAATAGGTCAGTACTCTGTGAACGCCCTGATATCGTTCACTTGAGAAATATTTTTCTCAGGGTTATAAAGAAGAAGCGCAAGGAAGAGTTCGAGCCAGTGTACTTGGACGAGCCCTGGGTCAATGCCTCGCACACTGCCAGCAGTCAGTGGGTACCCGATGGGGGTGATAAGGGGTCACATAGAAAGCTGCCTCTAGGGAAAGGAGAGAGACTAATCATTCTCCATGCTGGTTGCTCCAGCAAAGGCTTTCTCCCAGGCTGCGACTTGGTTTCAGGGTAAAGTCCACAGATAACAGAGACTACCATTCTGAGATGAATGGTGCGGTTTTCCTCGATTGGGTTAAAAACAAGTTGGTACCAGCTCTACCAGAGACGTCTTTTATCGTAATGGACAATGCCCAATACCACAGCGTGCAGGACCCTGACAGTAAAGCCCCGACATCGAACATTCGAAAAGGTGATATGATATTATGGCTCGATAAATGTCAGATCGCACGGCCTTCAAAGGCAACAAAGCCTCAGCTATAAGAGATCATAAAACCCACCAAGGTGAACTCTCTACAAAGTTGACAGTTACATATAAAGTAAGGGTTCACGATATTCTGCGACTTCCACCCCATCACTGTGACCTTAACCCCCATTGAAATGATATGGGGTATTGTCAAAGGAGATGTTGCCAGATCAAACACAACTTTTAGATTACGTGACGTAAAGGTTTTGGTTAAGGAATTCCTTCACAAAATCACGACTGAAACTTGGCAAAACCGTGTCAACAAGGTAGCTAACATCATTGAACAAGGTGACTGGTCTCGGGATGGCTTACAACAGGCAACTGTGGCACCACTTGTCATCCCTTTAAGTCGTGACTATGACACTACGACGGACGAGGAACTGACAGGTCTCCCGGAATAGATTTTGAGATGTCCCCCGCCATGACTGGCTGTTCCGTTTTCTGCGGTTTCACCCCGCCTCGACAGATAACAACTTTTGCATTTTCAATGATGATAGCTTCTTAAACAATTCATCGGTCCGTTTCTGACTCAAACGGACTGTAAGGGCTGGCCACTGCATAATGTTGACACCATTGTGCTGTAGGAAGTCCTGTGTAGCTCTGGCAGTATGGGCCCCGGTGTTATCATGCTGGAAAATGTTGTTCCGGTGACGTGCGAAATGTGGTATGACGTGGAGTCTGAGAGCTTGGTCGATGTAGCGCTCCGCTGTAGTGTGATGCCTCTCCCTGGACCAAGGGTCTGGAACACCACAGGATCCACTCTCTGGTTCAGGCCTGTTCCACCCCATACCATGATGCTTGCACCTCCCCATGAGTCTCTTTCCATAATACATTGGTCTGAGTAACGCTGGCCACGTCTTCGCCATATTCTTGTTCTGCCATCTGCAGTAAATACGCAGTACCGACTCTCATCTGTGAACAGTTCTCCATTGCCTGTATCGCCTGTTTTGGTGTTGTAGGGCAAACTGTAGACATTCACGCTGATGACGAGGGGTGGGGATAGGTCCACGATAAGGTCTACGGCAATAGAGGTTCCCGCTGTTAAGACGTCGGCATACTGTATGAGTACTGATTGGTCTTCCGTGTGTTCCCACTGTCTGGCGTGCTGTTTCGGATGCCTGCATGAAGGTATTCTGTACATGCTGTTGCACAACATGGCGGTCTTGTCGTCTTGTGGTCACCCTTGGTCTGCCAGTACGGGGGAGATTATTTGTGGTGTTGGTAGCCCAGAAACGTTGCTGCAGCCTGTAAATGGTCCGAACGTTGACATGGAAGTGATTGGCAATGGCTTGTGCAGTGTGGCCAGCTTCAATACTTCCTAGCGCCTGGTTCCTCTGAGCTGTCTTGAGTCACGGCATCCTGCTGACGTTGTAATGTGAATGTTTCAACCAGGTTTGGGGGTGCAGTTTATAGGGCTGGTGCTTGTGAACAGCACGTGCAGCATGAGTTGCATGAAAAACATGGAGAACACGGTACCATCTTCAAGATCAGGTTGCGTTTTTGAGACCATTTCCTGGGTTCCATTCTGAGTTTGGGAAAGAATGTCTTTGCTCAGGTTAAGTTGGAGATGTTGTCAAAAATATACAGTCAAAACATTAAATGAGACCACAGTTTCTGCGAAGGAAAATTCCAAACTGACGTTTCTTTTGCTGCCTAGTATATATACACATATGGAAGCTTCTATCACAAAAAAAAAACTGTCATCAAGGTATATTGTCACTGACATGGTCTAAGTACCATTAATATAGTGTTAAAGCCATCTGTGACAATATGTACCATAATGCCAGTTTTTGCATGACAACCCCCTGTGACTACATACTCCTTACAATGTCAAAATCTTTGAAGGCATTTGGTTGGTTGGTTTGTTGTTTAATCCAGCGACCCTGACCACCCGATCCCATTAGTCGCCTCTTACGACAAGCATGGGTTACTGAAGACCAATTCTAATCTGGATCTTTACGGGTTCTGAAGGAATTTAAAAATGAAACACATGAAGGGTGCAAATGTATGGATTGCTACTTCGAATTCTGCATTATGAGGAACACGACAATTAAGAGTATATTCTTACACCTGATTACTCCTGATGAAGGAATAAGAATATACTCCAGAACACATTTTCCCCCTTTGCTTACAATATTGTATCACTAACATATAACAGCTAGTTATAATTTTACCTCAGCAAAACATAAAATCTTGCCTGAATATAGCACTGCAAAAAAAAGACAGCATTTAATTTTTTAGTAGGAAGGGCTAACAAATATAATTAATCCTAACAAATATAATGCAAACTGGGACTCGTTTGCTGTTTAGGGAACAGGTAAATAGGGCCAAAGGACAAAAGGGCCAAAACTGGAAGAAAAGTCAAAAGGACCATAGTTTAAAGTCAAAAGGGCCAAACTTTAGAAAATAGTACGATTAGAACAAATTCATTACATGTTGTTGCAGTAGTTCTAATCCTAAATATCTCAGAGCGTCTCAGCTTCGTTTATTTAAAACATCTCTGAGTGGTTGTTTGTTTATTTTATGAGTATAGTCAACCATACAACTGTTAATTTGGTTATCTCCCAATTGACAGACACCAGTTGTGAATGGTCTCATGACTCAGAATGCTGTATCAGGGCTCCAGATAACGTTTCAACATCAGGAGTACGTACTGCTAATTTTTTCAATATAGGAGTACTGGAAAACAATAAGAGTACATTTAGAGTACTGAATGGAATTTAATGGAGTATCAGTAATCTTGTGTTTCGTTTCATATAAGGACCACAACATTGCTACTCTTGTGTAAACAGGTCAATACACGATAAAGCAATACTTTTTTAGATAAAAACGTCTGTAAATGATTCTAAGACCGTACTTCATTGCTGTGGTGCGTATCTGATACGTTTTCTAAATTATTTCCTAACATATCGTGCTTGTTTTATATCCGTACAAACGCCTATACGGCCCTTATCTGGAGCCATGCTGTATAATAGAACAGTTCAACCACAATTCAAATTGGTAACCATGCCTGTAAAGTGTGTCTCTTGTGGCAAGACAGTTAGGAAGAACCAGCATGCCCTGGAGTGTGACAGAGTGTGACAGAGATGGACACCATCATAGTTGTAACACAAACATGACCAGAGAGGAATACCTCCGTCTTTGCGAGAGCGGGCAAGAATTTCACTTTCTCTGCCATGTCTGCTCTGAGACCCAAGTCTCAGTCAGGTAATTTTACGGTTGGACACTTTCCAGTCCAGTTAGAGCAACCTGCAGACATGTTGGCCATTGAGACTCCGGTAGTATTTGATCACATATCAACACCTGAATGAATGATGATCACACAATATGTTATTACTATTATTACTACATGTTGATACAAATATAATAAAACATATAAAAAATGTATATTAGTTTGTATGTTCTTATTTGACTTTGATCTATGGCCTTTTTTACTTTCCTTTGGCCCTTTCGACTTTTCTTTGGCTCTTTTGACTTTTTCAGTTTTTGGCCCTTATGTCCTTTGATCTCTTTGACTACAACCCGCGTACGTTTATGTATTTTGATTTTATTCATGGAACATTTCTGTAGACAGAAACGTAACTGGAGTACCGATTGTTATAAAGATAACAAGAACTTAAAGTTTCCGGGGTACATAGACATGAGTTTAAAAAACACTTTCCCATTTCCAACCCACCCGTGGACCCGCCCTTACATGTGATCAGAGAACATATAATAAATCATTATATGTCTATGATGTCATACAATGGCATGATCAAAATTATACATACGTCGGATTCCGCTGTCAGCTTACAATGTGTGCATCTCCGTGTTCAGCATGATACAACTCAATAACATGTTGCAGAAGACAACAAGCTCCTCACAGCGATAGTCCACTCGTGGATCCCTGTAAGTAAGTCACGCGCTGGAAAGGAGCTATAGAAATGGGAGGTAACTCTAAACATGCACCATACCAGCCACGTTTTAGTAAAACATACGTTTGAGCTATAGCGATTGCCCCTCGCGCATAAAACTCCAGTTTCATGATTGAAATTTCAGTAATAAATCAAGAACGAAAACTTAAGTAGAAGTCAAATGAATTCAATTTATGTATCTGATAGCCTGGTTACGAAATGTGGCACCTTTGATAGCTTTACCTTCAGCTGTCACCTGCCTGGTCCAAAGAACAGCTGTAAAACCATGGCTAATGGCATCGATTTAGTGTCCTTTTACGATGATGTATTCGAGTAGTTTGACGTAAAAGGCGTTATTGCTTAGTCAGATGTGTTGTCCGTGAAATGAGTATCAATGGAGTTCCCCTCGCCTGCAGATTTTACCATAAAGACGCCACGAGGAAGTTCTTCCTCGAGCGCTGCTTCCTCTTCGATGACGGAGAGGATGTATTCGCCCGATTCATTTTTCCAAGAACGCTTAAATCTGTCAGACGATGACGAATTTGAACTAGACAGTAGTGGAACGCGGTCCCCATTCACCGATTCACCCAGTCATAAAAAGTATTTATTTCCCCAAAAAGAATTCGTAGACGAACTCCGTCCTGAAGAAATAAGGTGGTTCTACAAGAATGAGGGAGAAAAGAGGTGGAGGGCATTTATTGGGTATGACTCGCTGAGAATAGAGTGTCGCTACAGAGCACTTGCTTGTGATTCGAATGGTGATATTGATGTTAATGAAAGAATCCTTGTGAGAGGAGGATTGTATGATGTTGAAGTTGAGAACAAGAGATGCCATCCGATATACTGGACAGGTATGCATACTTCAAAACATTTTAACCTTTTCTGTATTATTCATAACTCAATGAGGTCACTGATGATCAGAAAGTTATATTGTGTTACTGATAAAGTGTCATGGCTCAGACATATATTTTACAAAATGCCATGTATAGCTCATATTTGTTCTCACATAACACATCTTTCATTCATTCATTTTTTGGTGCGGCGGGGTAGCCACATTTTCCAACAGGTAGAGGGGCGGTGGGGCAGCCTCATGGTTAAAGCGTTTGCTCGTCACACCGAAGACCTGGGTTCAATTCCAAACATTGGTACAATATGTGAAGCCCATTTCTGTTGTCCCCTGCCGTGATATTCTGGAATATTGCTAAAAGCGGCATAAAACTAAACTCACTCACTCACTCACTCTCTCATTCATTTTTTAGGACAGGCTTCAAAGTCCTGCACAGAGCACAAGCAGTAAAAACAAGGATACAAGATAAATCATTCTTAGTCTGAAAAGACAGCAAAGTTCTGCACTGTACACAAGCAGTAAAACTAGGTGACATAAGGATAAATCATGCTTCATCTCAAACAGCAAAGTCCTGCACAGTTTACAAGCAATAATGCTATTGTACATGAGGATAAATCATCTCAAAAGGTGACATTTCCGGCACAGTACACTAGCAGTAAAAGTAGGTTACATAAGGATAAAGCATGCTTCATATGCTTAATCTCAAAAGTCGAAAAGGAGGTCATGGACATGGTGATACACAAATGTGCTTTGACTACAGCATAATGATTCTCAAAAGTGACCTCAGCAACCAAAGTAAGCTGAAAAATTGTTGGTTACAATGCATCAGTGGGAGTGTTTGTATTTGCACAGGTCCTTTCTCATGATGATGTTGTTATGATACGACTATAAAGTCCATGACTTATGATGTTGTTGTTATGATACGACTATAAAGTCCATGACTTATGATGTTGTTGTTATGATACGACTATAAAGTCCATGACTTATGATGTTGTTGTTATGATACGACTATAAAGTCCATGACTTATGATGTTGTTGTTATGATACGACTATAAAGTCCATGACTTATGATGTTGTTGTTATGATACGACTATAAAGTCCATGACTTCTGATGTTGTTGTTATGATACGACTATAAAGTCCATGACTTCTAATGTTGTTGTTATGATATGACTATAAAGTCCATGACTTCTCATGTTGTTATGATACGACTATAAAGTCCATGACTTATGATGTTGTTGTTATGATACTGTTGTTATGATACTACTATAAAGTCCATGACTTATGATGTTGTTGTTATGATACTCGACTATAAAGTCCATGACTTCTATGATGTTGTTGTTATGTTGTTGACTTATGTTGTTGTTATGATACTGACTATAAAAGTCCATGACTTCTTATGATGTTGTTGTTGTGATTCTAATGTTGTTATGAAGTCCATGACTTATGATTCTAATGTTGTTGTTATGATACCTATAAAGTCCATGACTTCTAATGTTGTTGTTATGATAATCACTATAAAGTCCATGACTTATGATGTTGTTGTTATGATACGACTATAAAGTCCATGACTTCTAATGTTGTTGTTATGATATGATATGAAGTCCATGACTATAAAGTCCATGACTTATGTCCATGACTTCTAATGATACGATTATAAAGTCCATGACTTATGATGTTGTTGTTATGATACGATAAAGTCCATGACTTAAAGTCCATGATGTTGTTGTTATAAGATACTAATGTCGTTATGATACTATATAAAGTCCATGACTTCTATGATGTTGTTGTTATGATACGACTATATCCATGACTTATGATGTTGTTGTTATGATACTTACTATAAAGTCCATGACTTCTGATGTTGTTGTTATGTACTGTCCACTGTTATGATATGATACGACTATAAAGTCCATGACTTATGATATGATAAGTCCATGACTTATGATGTTGTTGTTATGATACGACTATAAAGTCCATGACTTATGATGATGTTGTTGTTATGATACGACTATAAAGTCCATGACTTTTGATACTTATGATACGACTATCCGTATAAAGTCCATGACTTATGATGTTGTTGTTATGATAATGACTATAAAGTCCATGACTTATGATGTTGTTGTTATGATACGACTATAAAGTCCATGACTTATGATGTTGTTGTTATGATACGACTATAAAGTCCATGACTTTTGATGTTGTTGTTATGATATGACTATAAAGTCCATGACTTATGATGTTGTTGTTATGATACGACTATAAAGTCCTTGACTTTTGATGTTGTTGTTATGATACGACTATAAAGTCCATGACTTTTGATTGTTATGATACGACTATGAAGTCCGTGACTTAAGTACAGCAACTTGCTCAGCTGAAACTCTCAGAGTTCAAAACTGTTTAATTTGTTAAAAGGTTTGATCAATTATGCACAACATAATAGTTGATTTAACTACTTGTCCTCAGAAATGAAAGAAGACATGCATTTTTGTGTACCACTTACTGCCCCATTTAACAATGACTATGGTTACACATACAGCATCATATATTTTCTTTAAAATGGTCATGCAAAGTAGGTAACATAGCCTGTATACCTTATATTAACACAATTAACAAATATCTAGGGTGATTATTCAATTTGTTGACTGTTGAATTTTTGGGTTGGCCAATTCAACACTTATGGTCTCTTTTGCAAGAGATTTCTGAGTCCTAAAATCAGTCTTACTTTATACCATGAACAGATTTTACCAAATGTTTAATGGTTTTTTTAATATGTTCATAAATATTTTTTGTTATAGATTTTCAAACTGTGCTTGATAATTTTGACGTGTTTGTCATTCTTTGAAAGACATACCTGTAAAGATGCAGGTTAGCATTCATCTTCAGCAACCCACACCTGTCGTAGGAGGTAGGGGCGGTGGGGTAGCCCAGTGGTTTAAACGTTCGCTCATCACGCTGAAGGTCAGGGTTTGATTCCCCACATTGGTACAATGTGTGAAGACCATTTCTGGTGTCCCCTGCCGTGATATTGGTGGAATATTGCTAAAAGCGGCGTAAAACCATACACAGTCTATCAGTCATAAGCGGTGACTGACAGGATCAGGGCCCCGTTCCTCAGCGCGATCGTAGCGCTAAGATGATTGTAACTCCCATACTTTAACATAGGCTTACGACTGTCGTAGCGCTACAATCGCTTTGAGGAACGGGGCCCTGGTAGTAAGGCTTATCTGGTTTGATGATGCATGATATCGTAACCCAGTTTCATAGGTCGATGCTCAGGACGATGTCAATTGCTGGATTATTTGCAAGTCGTCCAATAACTGGAATATTGCTGACTACGACCTTAAACAACAAACTTTGCACAAATCCTGCTGACGTAGATTCTTCTCGTCAGGTGATGTTTCTGAAATCATGAGGGGAATTTGGTTCTACGATGGTACCTGGCAGCCAATGGAGGAGGTGTATGCACTACCGTTAGAGAAGGAGCACATGGCCAACTTTGCCAACCGAAGGTTGGACGAGGTCCCTGTTGCACCGCCAAAGGGACCAAGACCAGGTGACTATGATGTACAGTGTTTGTTGTGAAGGAAAATGGCACCAGCGCATATTGTGATGATTTCTTTTCTTACTTTTGTGGGACATTCTTCTGTATCGTTGCCAGATTTTACCAAAATATCTTAAAATAATCAAAATTTCATTATGAACATTGAAAATTCATCTGGTGGCCACAACATAGACCCAGAGTTGATTCCAACATAATTAAGTGTGGAGCCAAGCAGTGTGCGAAAAAGTTTCCAAATTTTACTAGTCAGTCTAGCTAGCTATGCCTAAAAGTTACTAGTCCACAAAATGATTCACTGTAGAAACTAAGCAAAAGATTTAGAATAGATGAGAATAAGATATTGTTTGCATGACACGGGTTTCATCATTAAGTTGATAACATGATGAACATTTTTATCAGGCCATAATCTTGCATGATTTAAAAGTGAATTATAACTTAACAAGCCGGAGAGAGTGATCGTTTTACAAAATGACCCCATGAAAAATCACTAGCCAGTCGGACCAGTGACTGTAGAGATTTACTGGCCCGACTGGATTTTTATGAGCCATGGGCTAGCAGGCCAGTGGCTATTTCGCACACTGGAGCCAAGTTTCTTTGACCCCAATGTCCATGATGGATAATTTTGATAAATAACTATTAACAATTCCAGATTATACCACAGTCACTGTACTAACTCACTTTTTCAGTCTCATGTTATCACCATGGCTACCTTGTTAAAAGTGTTTCATTGTTCACCAGTCTTTTTTGTATGCTGCTCATAATATCATCCACTGGTTTGTCTGTCTTTTGCTTAATCGTTAGTTGGCAGCTACTATATAGGTGTAATGTTCCTGAAACACCCAATCAAACAAACCTAATAAATTTATTTGGTGCAAACTTCTTTTAACCATGTAGCATATGTATATTCATTGTCATTTGGGTTTGCAGTGTACTTTAGAAAGTAAAAGACTTTAAAATTGAAAGGCGATACATTCAATAGAATCATCATTATCATGATTATTATCATTTTTTGGTATTAGCAGTTTTCATAAGGCGAATACCCGTGAAGGTCCGGGATAGAATATTGATCCTCAGTAACCCATGATTGTTGTAAGAGGCGACTAATGGGTTCGGGTGGTCAGGCTCACTAACTTGGTTGACACATGTCATCGGTTCCCAATTTGTGCAGATTGATGCTCATGCTGTTGATCACTGGATTGTCTGGTCCAGACTCGATTATTTACAGAGCACTGCCATATAGCTTTAATATTGCTTCCCCACATGGGCACAATGTGTTAAGCCCATTTCTGGTGTCCCCCGCCGTGATATTGCTGGAATATTGCTAAAAGCGGCGTAAAACTAAACTCACTCACTCACTCACTTTAATATTGCTGAATGTGGTGTAAAACTAAACTCACTCTCTCACTCATTGAGAGCCTAGTGGTTAATGCATTTGCTCGTCATGCCGAAGACCCGGGTTTTGTTCCCCACATGGGTACAATATGTCAAGCCCATTTCTGGTGTCCTCCGCCGTTGTATTGCTGGAATATTGCAAAACTCACTAAAAGCGGCGTACAAACCAAACTGACTCACTCACTCACTCAATCACGTTCTTCTCAAGAGAAGTTCAAGAACACCATTACATGTCAGATTAAGTTTTACAATATGAAAATCTTGGTAGTTCTTTTACATTTCTGTAGTAGTGTACCATGGTATACAGTAATACCAGTGTATGACATAAGGCCCATCCGACCGTGCGAGACTGGCTAGATTTCTGACGGACGGTCTAATTTACAGCTAGCCAGCCTGATGGTCTGGTAAAAATTTAGATAACATGTTCCAACATCTCAGTAATTTCACCATATCTTAAACTCTATTTTTCAAATAGAATGTTACATTTAGACTTGAAAACTACTGTTTGAACATTGAACTATCGCATCACAAGCTCAAAGCGTTGACATATACTAGTATTATCACTAAAACAACGACACCTATCGATGTAAAAGCGGAGTTCTGAAAACTCGAAGCACTGCACGTACAATTCAATATGACTTTTCTTTGGATTGTCTAGTGTGGTTAAATCCATTTTAGGGTGGTAACATTTTGAAGTTACCAGCCCTGATGTCTGGCTGGGTTTGGGGCTTATTTCATACACTGGTAATACATTGTATAACTTCTAGTTTGTGAATGGTTTTTCCTTTTCCTTGATGTGGGTCTGTATGAGTAAACCTGTTTATAATCAAAGTAGAACAAAAGAATAATTTTGATACATGAAAGTGGAAAGAAATGAAATTGAAAGTCCTTGGTCAGGAACATCAGCATTGTACTTCAGTATTCAATCATTATTTCCTTAATTTCAGTCTGCGGTACAATGACATGTTCAGGGGTGGAAATAACTTTAATATTGCTAGTGTACTCCGGTACAGTGGCACATGTAAAATCACTTGCCCTGATAATTTTTCCACTATACCGGCGTTTTCTTGTTGATTTTTTAAATAAACAACATAATTAACATTGGAATATCAACTGGACACCGGTACAGTGTGATATATTTCCATTTGCTTTGCCCGACAGTAAACTTCTTAAGCACTGGACTCGGGCATCGGGTTAATGGGTTATTTCCACCCCCCTGGTGTTTGATGATAATCATGTCGTAAATATATTCCTCACTTTGTGTCGGAACTCTTCAACTTTTTCTTTTATTTCAGTTATTCACAATTTGAAGTTCCAAGACTTTCATGTGGACTGGAACGCTCCCAATGAGATCTATCTGTTCAGTGAATCTGCTTCCTCCAAACTCATGAGACAAGTAACGAAATCTCTCGGCTGGCAAAAATGTAAGCAGTGATTTTAGAGTTCTCAGATTTCATAACCTTTCCTTTCAGTATGGCTCGATTTAAGAGGTGTTAACCTACTTGCACCAGGAGCAACCTAAGATATAAACCTAGTTGCATCAGCCAAATTCCACTTGCAACGTAGTGTGTTAAAACGCCAGAGGTTTCAGTGCACATAAAAATATTTCCGTGATGTGGTACCAATAAAACCATAGCAATACAGAGACAAAGCTGATCCCTGTTTACAAGAGCTGTCAGGCGAGAGACGTCTGGTCCAGACTCAATATTTACAGAATAGCAATGCTGTTCGATGCCAAAGCTGATTCAAAGTTTAGAAGAAAAGCAATGAGCTGACATTCATTTGAGCTGACATATTTATGCGTATGTTAGATTTATTGTTGATTTATTTCTAATAAATTAACTTGCACCTTGTGACCTAGTGCAAGTTAGATTCATAGCTAGGTTGCACTTTGTAATATTTGGTTGCACCAGTACAAGTAACAAAGCACTAAATCGAGCCCTGCCTCAGTACATTGAATCATATGAGAATCATAATCATCCATATGTGTATCCCTATCATTTTGTCACTAATGAATAATTGGTTAAGTATAATTTGATTTGTATGAATAATCTGTTTATCATGGTAAGTAATAGATAGAGCATGGGAATACCAATGTATTAAGTGTATGCCGATGTTCCTATGCTTCATTATCCATAGTTTACTAGTATCTGTTGTAGCCTGCAGTTATAATGTCTTGTCAAACTTAAATTCAATATTTTCTAGATGTGAAAAGTTTGAATCATGGCCTTAATGTAGCCCATATTCTATTTTGTTTTACTTGCTTAGTTATAGCAAGACTATTACATGTGCATTAGTGGTGGTCCGATTAATTGAAATAATTGAAGATTGGTCGCAGTGACTAAACGACCAAGCAATCGATCGTAATTTCTCATAATCGAACACAAACAATTCTGAAAAACTTGTTTTCATTAAAAATAATTTTCACACGGTTGGTTTTGTCTGTTACATTTCGTAAGCACTACAAGCTTGTTTCAAGTAATGATTGAATTTATCTTAAAGATTCCAAGAAATTTGTGTTCCTTACATACTAGTCATCCTTTAAAGATGTGAAATTTTGCCCCAAAACCCCCAAAGAACTACATGTTTTTTTCCTTATTTTTATGTGCATTAACAAATTTCATAAATGACGCTAACCAATTATTTTCGATGATTGATCAGTAGTTATGAACCAATCATCAATTATGAGATTTTAACCAAGTCCCTACACTAATGTGCATGTTGATGTTTGTTTTTCAGCTGGAAACCAGTTGCACAGGGGCTACCGTTACGAAGCCATGATGGAGGACAAGCCGCCAGATATAGGCCACCTGGTCTTCGTGGTACACGGCATTGGACAGAAGATGGAAACTGGTGCTATAGTCAAATGCTGCAAAGAGTAAGAATATTGTCAATCTAAGAACAATATAACTCCTTATCCTCATTGTTTGTGTCAACTGGCTTTACTTTATCCCTATTATCATTGTTTTCCATTACTGAGTTTGATCGGTCCTCTGTGATTGATTGTATATACATGTCAGGGATCGAAATTCCTATTTTTAGGGCTACAATGTCACGGGGAAATAAATTGCAAATGGCACGGATAAAATACTCAAATGTGCCATAATGGCACGCTTAAAATTCAACTTACAGTTTTGAGTTTTTAATAAAAGGCTGACAAAATGTTTACTTTTGACATTCTGACATTCAAAACGTATCCAAAAATGAAATCTTACAACATCTGTTATTTGTCATTCTCATTGAGCCGCTTATTTTGGTTTCAATTGCGCATGACAGGAGATAACATAACATCATTCTTTGATTCTGGCACAGGATGTTTACACCATGCATCTAAGCAGATGATAGCTCTAGCTTAAAATATCCGAGAAGAAAACAAAAAACAATTTTAAATTTCTTCAAAAGCAGGCAGGCCAAAATAAATGAAACCTCTGAAACAAAACAACAAAGTCATTGTCTTTATTGTTATATTCATATTACAATGTCATGATGATCCTTGTCACACTTCTATGTGTTAGGGCACACCTGAATTTTACATTGAAAAAATACATTTCTATCCCTGCATGTACATCCCTGGCTTCCTGTAAATTTGGGTATATATAGTATGTTTTAGCAGTCTTTAATCACAGCAAGAAGTAACCCAGAAACGTCGTGTTATACAATAAAGAAGAAGTTGTCATCCATATACTCGTCTTATATATTCACCTGCTTCTAAATGACTCTCGAGAATCTCTCAAAAACAATAGTCAAAGGATAGCGATAATATTGTCAGATCCTAATTGAATAACAGTAGTATACAACACATACCATGTATACCACATTTTGATCATGTTTATTATGTTTATGACACTGATGCAAGCCTTGATATTGCTGGAATATTGCTGGAATAATGCTAAAAGCGACGTAAAACCATACCCACTCACTGCCATGTCTATCTGTAGCCCAGTTAGTTAAGAACATATTAACTGTGAATGATGAAACTACCAGTTGTCGCCTTCATGTTCTGTGACCTGTTACTTGGTTGACACATGTCATCGGTTCTCAATTACGCAGATCGATGCTCATGCTGTTGATCTCTGGATTGTCTGGTCCAGACTCGATTATTTACAGACCGCCGCCATATAGCTGGGATATTGCCGAGTGCCTCGTAAAAGTAAACTCACTCACTCACTCTATGGCCTGTTGCAATTGAGTGAGTGAGTGAGTTTATTTTTTTGCCAGTTTGGCAATATACCAGCAATATCACGGCAGTGGACACCAATATCTTGAAACCTATTATTGTTTGGATTGTTTTAAAATTTAGGTGACCACCTTCTTAGTCTTAATTAGAGATGTTTGTTTGATCAATAACTTGAATATTGTTGTTTATATCTTGGGTGGATTGTTTATATCTTCAAACTCATAATGGAGTGAGTGAGTGAGTTTAGTTTTACGCCGCTTTTAGCAATAATCCTTCAACATCATGGCAGGGATCACCAGAAATGGGCTTCACACATTGTACCCACATGAAGAATCGAACCCGGGTCTTCGGTATGAAGAGCGAACGCTTTAACCACTAGGCTACCCCACCACCCCTCTCATAATGGTACCTTTTGGTATGTTGTTGTATGATATTGCTTTTCTGGGTGGTAGACTTCTTCTTCTTCTTCTTCTTCTTCTTCTTTCTTCTTCTTCTTCTTCTTCTTCTTCTTCTTCTTTCTTCTTTCTTCTTCTTCTTCTTCTTCTTCTTCTTCTTCTTCTTTTCTTCTTCTTTTCTTCTTCTTCTTCTTTTCTTCTTCTTCTTCTTCTTCTTCTTCTTTCTTCTTCTTCTTCTTCTTCTTCTTCTTCTTTCTTCTTTCTTCTTCTTCTTCTTCTTCTTCTTTCTTTTCTTTTCTTTTCTTCTTCTTCTTCTTTCTTCTTCTTCTTCTTCTTTCTTCTTCTTTCTTCTTTTCTTCTTCTTCTTCTTCTTCTTCTTCTTCTTCTTCTTCTTCTTCTTCTTCTTTCTTCTTTTCTTCTTCTTCTTCTTCTTTCTTCTTCTTCTTCTTTCTTTCTTCTTCTTTTTCTTCTTTTCTTCTTCTTCTTCTTTCTTTCTTCTTCTTCTTCTTCTTCTTCTTTCTTCTTTCTTCTTCTTTCTTCTTCTTCTTTCTTCTTCTTCTTCTTCTTTCTTTCTTCTTCTTCTTCTTTCTTCTTCTTCTTCTTCTTCTTACTTGGTAGTATAGTACATAATGTCATAAAACTAAATCAACAAAATCTAAAGTTCACTACCCACTTTGTTTGGCTGGCAAATATACAGGTTTCTCTGACCTTTGGAAAAATGATAAACTTGTAGAGTAGACAGTGGTCAAGAACTTGCAGATTGTGGTTTGATCGAAGTGGTGATTCCATCTTTCATCCATAGTTTCAAATTGTAGCAAGAAGTGTTGGGAGTTGGTTAAAATCTCATAATTGATGATTGGTTCATTACACCCGATCAATCATCGAAAATAATTGGTTAGCGTCATTTATGAAATTTGTTAATGCACATAAAAATAAGGGAAAAATCACGTAGTTCTTTGGGGGCTTTTTGGCAAAATTTCACATCTTTAAAGGATGACTAGTATGTTAGGAACATAATTTTCTTGGAGCCTTTAAGATAAATTCAATCATGACTTGAAACAAGCTTGTAGTGCTTACAAAATGTAACAGACAAAACCAACCATGTGAAAAATATTGTTAATGAAAACAAGTGTTCCAAAATTGGTTGTGTTCGATTATGAGAAATTATGATCGATTGCTTGGTCGTTCAGTCACTACGACCAATCTTCAATTATTTCAATTAATCGGACCACCACTAGTAGCAAGATCCTACACCGTTACCGTAGTTACAGTATAGCATGATGTGGCCGTCATTGTCTGTTTCAGATTACCCATAGCCTTCAGCATGAGATGAATCGTCTGTATGCCTTGTTCTGTTCACGACACCCTTACTTTGAAGTGAATGGAGGGAAGGTGTCTGTGGTGGCACACTCACTTGGTGAGTAAACAGCAGGACAGGCACTGTGAGCATATTGAAGCAAGTAAGAGTTGCTAGCTTTCAGTAGGGGCTGGTAGCCTTTTGCGTTTAGCTTTTACTAATGTGAAGTAGCTTTCAGTAAGGTCTGGTAGTGGTAGATTTCATGTTTGGCTTTGTAGGTTACAGTAGGACTAGTAGCTTTCAGTAAGGGCTGGATGTATTCACTAAGGGTGGTAGCTTTTGCTGTAAAATGGTCGCTTTCAGTAAGGGCTCTTACTTTTCAGTAGATTGTAGCTTTCAGTAAGGTCCATTCTCTTCCACAGAGGTTACTTGTCATATCTTCCTACGAACCTCTGTTCTAATACGTCCATATTTCCCGGTTCTCGTAAAATCCCCTAGCGGCAAAAGATCGCAACACGAATTATCTCCCTTCTTTCTATCCAATCAGAACACGTGTTACATCGACTTAGATTCAACTTGACTAACACAAGCAAATGTGGGGCCACAAATATCCCCCATCTGCCGGGGACTTGTGTTGATATTACACACAAGACGTTTAATGGCTAGCTTGTCCGTTGTCAACAAGGGCGATGGAGACGCCACTGATCCGCCATAACATGACTGAGTTCTGTCTAGAAGAAACGTTTGCGCGAAGAGGTTTAGTTTTCTCGAAGCATACGGAAATTACCGAGGCCTTGCGAATGATCACTTTTGAAACAACGTCGCTGATTGCACAACTAAATCTGATTGCCTCCAGTAACGAGTCTTGAACGCTCACACCATGAAAGGGCCGTATTAGAACAGAGGTTACGTAGGAAGATATGACAGGAGTAACCTCTGTGGGAAGAGAATGAGTAAGGTCTTGCTGCTTTCACTTTTTCTGTGTAGCTTTCACTGAGGGCCTGTGCTTACCAGTGAGGGCTGGTAGATAATGAAGCATACAACTTTATGGATAACAACTTCTTGTGTATAGAGCTATGCATTGATATAATTTCTTACAGTTTAATGACAATCTGGTAGCTATCAGTAAGGTCTAATAACTTTCAGTGAGGGCTGGTAGCTATCAGTAAGGTCTAATAACTTTCAGTGAGGGCTTGTAGCTATCTGTAAGGGATTGTAGCTTTCAGTGAGTGTTGGTAACGTTCACAAAGGACTCGTAGCGATCAGTATTCTGGTAAAACACCTGTGCAGGTGAAGAGTTGAGGTCTTCCCACAGAGGTTACTTGTCATATCTTCCTACTGAACCTCTGTTCTAATACGCCCATATTTCCCGGTTCTCGTAAAATCCCCTAGCGCAAAAGATCGCAACACCTAATTATCTCCCTTCTTTCTATCCAATCAGAACACGTGTTACATCGACTTAGATTCAACTTGACTAACACAAGCAAATGTGGGGCCACAAATATCCCCATCTGCCGGGACTTGTGTTGATATTACACACAAGACGCTTAATGGCTAGCTTGTCCGCTGTCAACAAGGGCTTATGGAGACGCCACTGATCCGGCCATAACATGACTGAGTTCTGTCTAGAAGAAACGCTTATGCATCGCGCAGGGGAAGAGGTTTAGTTTTCTCAAGCATACGGAAATTACCGAGGCCTTGGCGAATGATCACTTTTGAAACAACGCCGCTGATTGCACAACTAAATCTGATTGCCTCCAATCACGAGTCTTGAACGGCCACACCATGAAAGGGCCGATATTAGAACAGAGGTTACGTGAGGAAGATATGACAGGAGTAACCTCTGTGGGAAGAGAATGTGTAAGGTCTTAATAACTTTCAGTGAGGGCTGGTAGCTATCAGTAAGGTCTAATAACTTTCAGTGAGGACTTGTAGCTATCTGTAAGGGATTGTAGCTTTCAGTGAGTGTTGGTAACGTTCACAAAGGACTCGTAGCGATCAGTATTCTGGTAAAAACACCTGTGCAGGTGAAGAGTTGAGGCACTCTATTAGATTGGTTGATTTTCACATACTTTCTGTCATTGTCATATGCGTAATCGTGCAGCATTGTCACACAATGTTTCTGTTTCAGGATGTGTGATAACGTATGATATCATCACCGGCTGGAACCCCATGAAGTTGTATGATGAATTTGTCACATCTGTCATAGTGAGTATAACAACAAGCTACAGGTTGGACTGCTGCAACACAAGCAGAATATATGTTCATGTAACATAAACAATATGATTTACTTAACAGAAGGAAAAGGCCAAACCATTACTTGATATAGGTAAAATCTTCACTCCATTATGGTCAAGCTGACAGGTAAAGAATGATTGGTTTTCTGAGTATCTTTAAAACATGCATTCTCTTCCCACAGAGGTTACTTGTCATATTTTCCTACGAACCTCTGTTCTAATACGGCCATATTTCCCGGTTCTCGTAAAATCCCCTAGCGGCAAAAGATCGCAACGACGAATTATCTCCCTTCTTTCTATCCAATCAGAACACGTGTTACATCGACTTAGATTCAACTTGACTAACACAAGCAAATGTGGGGCCACAAATATCCCCCATCTGCCGGGACTTGTGTTGATGTTACACACAAGACGTTTAATGGCTAGCTTGTCCGTTGTCAACGAGGGCGATGGAGACGCCACTGATCCGCCATAACATGACTGAGTTCTGTCTAGAAGAAACGTTTGCGCATCGCGCAGGGGAAGAAGTTTAGTTTTCTCGAAGCATACGGAAATTACCGAGGCCTTGCGAATGATCACTTTTGAAACAACGCCTGATTGCACAACTAAATCTGATTGCCTCCAATCACGAGTCTTGAACGCTCACACCATGAAAGGGCCGTATTAGAACAGAGGTTACGTAGGAAGATATGACAGGAGTAACCTCTGTGGAAAGAGAATGTAAAACATGATGTTGATGATGTTTTTTCACTGTTCAATACTCTCCATCCTCAAGTGACCTTATAAAGGTTTGTCTGTTCTTGGATGAAGACAGACATCAAGGCGGAGGAAGAAGATGATTTTCACATGACCATGGAACTGTTAAAAGTCTGAGGCTGACAAATGTCTGTTACTGTAATAAAATATGCTACCGAGGCCTGAATGTATTTCATATCTTTGGTTTTATGTCTAACTTCTCTAAAGATATCTTGGACCAATTGGCCAGCCAATGTTTACAGTACCATAGTTTATGGTGGAACTCAAACATTTTAGTCAGCTTCCCCTGATCTCATGACTGGGAGACTGTTATAGCAGATTATGTTCTGCCCTTCAGGATGAAGAAGGTGAGAATGCAGAGGGCGCCAACAAGTTGCAGGAGGAGTTGGAGCAGGCAAGGAAAAGGTTTGATTCACTTTCTACATGTTCTGTTGTGTTGTGCCTCGTTTATTTCAAGTGTACTTCATATGTACATCATGTGTACATCATGTGTACTTCTTTGCTCGAAGAGTTATTCTTATCATTTAGGATGTCATTATTAAGAAAGTGTTTTGAAAGAAACCTTGTTTCTGTTTCAATCTACCAAGTATTTACTGGAGTAATCTGATGCTCAGAAATTTACTTGCCAGAGTTGCTTCCCTTTGCCGAGTCAGGGTCCTACGTTTGTTAGTTTAAAGGCAAAATTCCCTGATTATGATGCTGGTTCTTTGGAATCATACTGTTGGTTTACTATATTGGTGAACCTGTAAGAGAACTTTCCTCTCTCAGAGAGCTGCCTTGATGAATAATTTTTAAAGTCACACTTCTGCAAGAATCGTCTCCCTTGGTATTGACTCTTCAGAGTCCTTATAAGAATCGGTCCAGTGAATGGTGATCATAATAGGCAACTAAATGGTTTAGATGATCATGCCTGGTGATTTGTTTGGTATACGCGATGATATGGATTGTTCACAATATCAAATCCGATTGTTTAGATTTGCGTATTATATAATATGTAAAGTTGGAATATTACTGAGTGTGATGTTAACCCCCTGGGTGCCACAGGGACATATATGTCCTTCCTCTTCAACCCTCACTTTGAAGTCCAATCAAATTCTCAATATTTCACGCACACAAATATAGTTCACAGTTCAGAATTCTGCGGGAAATTCCCTGTTTCTTGATACCATCCACTATTATCTCAGACAAAGCTAAAGTACTATTACTGAGTGTGATGTTAACCCCCTGGGTGCCACAGGGACATATATGTCCTTCCTCTTCAACCCTCACTTTGAAGTCCAATCAAATTCTCAATATTTCACGCACACAAATACGTTCACAGTTCAGAATTCTGCGGGAAATTCCCTGTTTCTTGATACCATCCACTATTATCTCAGACAAAGCTAAAGTACTGTAGAAGACCTTTCAAAATAGGCTTCATCGTAAATGTCGCCATTTTTGACACAATACGAAATCGAGATTCACAGCATTATTTGCTGTATGTTTGAAATGTGAAAATCAGAAAATTACTGGGAGTATTGAATTTCAAAAAATAGCATATTAATGATCACTGATATCTATTTTCATGAAATCACTAATGATAATTCTGAAACGTTGCCGATGAACCTAGAATCAGTTGGGATGTTTTCGAAAATACACTAACACGAACGCCGAAGTGCGGTTTCCGCCATATTGGATTGTGTTTACAAAATCACGTTTCGCGAAGGCCGGTATTGAGACGCATATTACATAACGTATATTTCATATTCAGCTGCTACAAATGCATCACTGAATTCCCCATACATTTTAGAATTAAATTACAAATGGTCTTTGTCACCAATACCAACTGTCTAGATGAAATGATGCAAAAGATATTGGGTGTGAAAACGAACACTGTGCTCAAAAGACTGCGCTTGTTTGAAATGTAAATAAAGAAAAATTCCGAGTTTACACTACATAGCATTTTCTGAAATTTTCCGACACCCAGCCGTTTATTCTTTGCTTGCAATGGCCCAATGCCTTTAGAATATGCATGGAAAGAGTATCGTACCAAGAAATAGGAATTAAAAACAGATAATATGCAATGATTTCATTATTCATAAGAACTTGTCAAAGTTTCCATGCAGTGTGATGCCATGACTGACGCAAAATCATGCAGAACGACAATGGTAATTATCAGCATTTCTGGCTTCTTCTTTTACTTACAATGAAAACATATAACAATACACAGATAAGCAGAATCATTCTGATTACTTACATCTCATATTTATGTACATCGATCCCTGAATCAAGTGAAGCTACATAATCATAAACAAAGAAAATACTTATCCTAAAAAAAATATTCGGGTATTGTGAAATATTATTTTTCATTTACATTAAATTGATGCCAAACAGGTGCGCGTGTTGCTCACAATAAGATACACAATCAAACCGTCTAATTGTTGATATATTCAGGATAATATTTAAATGTTAAAATCAGTCATCTTATGTTTTGTCTAAAGAGTCTTAAATTCTTACATAGAAGCCGAGACCTTTTATGCAATTAATGGAAATTAGTTGAGATATATACTAATCAACATATCAATGTCGTCTTTTCCGACGTCGCAAAATACATAAAACAAGCAATGACGTCAACTAAAATGTTGTAATCTTTTCAGTAGTTTCATTACATTTGACAATATGGCTAGTAATCTGTTAATAATGATGCAAAATTGGTCAAAATACATCTACACAAACAGGAGAGTATGGGAATCTAAGAACTAACTTACATATCAGATAGGGCCATCCAAATCACTATTATGTGCTTTCTCATGTAGTACATTGTCATCTTTTCGTATTAATTGTGAAACTACCAAAACGTATCTGTTCACATTGGGGAACTTTGTATTGGAATAGTCTGGTTCACGGTGAACAAAACATAACGAAAATATGGCGTTCGTATGCACAACAAATTCTCTCTAAGTGATCTGAGTTATATTGACCTAGTGTTAAGCATATCGGAGTTATGCCCCCTTATCTTTCTACTGTATGAGAGCTTTCTGTCGCCGTTTGACGTCATAGAAGAAAATCCATTTTGACATTTATTGCGAGTCATTTTTAATGTTGAGCGTATAACGTTATGCATAAGCACATAAACCCATTTGATAAAGCGGTGAAATTTACTTTTTTTTTAACGCATAACAAAATTTTGGACAACATTTAGCAGTGTCTATTTCTCAAACCGCCGAGGTAGTTGCACTTACATTTATACCAACGGATAGGAAATTTAATATTCTACATTTCTGTGTAATTTTATAGCCGTACGCTGATGCAGGACCACGCGAGCGCAAATCTCGTACAACATTCCATTTTCAAACTTTATGAAAATTGGCGCCTGAAAAAAACTCGGCATCCAGGGGTTAAACAGAGAGCAACTAAAGTCTATACCATGGTATCAGATTCAGAACTGTTTAGCCTGAATTACTTTGATCCTATCTCTGTTGCTTTGACAATGCTGTGTTCACACTGTTTGAATGCCAGAATACATTCATTTTACAGGGTTTCTGAACTTGAAGCATCACTCAAAAGTGTTCATGAAAGACAAGTAAAAGCAAAACAACCTCTCCAATTCAAAGTAAGTGATAATGTCATATAAAAAATATATGGAATCATGATTACTGGTATCAATTTTAATATTTACCAAGCAGAAGTCCCATGCATCACAGTGGCAGGAGCTAGTGTGCACATACCAGTCATACAATGACCACCATTTGTGAGTGAGTGAGTTTAGTTTTACGCCGCACTCAGCAATATTCCAGCTATATGGCGGCGGTCTGTAAATAATCGAGTCTGGACCAGACAATCCAGTGATCAACAGCATGAGCATCGATCTGCACAATTGGGAACCGATGACATGTGTCAACCAAGTCAGCGAAACTGACAACCCGATCCCGTTAGTCGCCTCTTACGACAAGATAGTCGCCTTTTTATGGCAAGCACATGGGTTGCTGAAGACCTATTCTACCCCGGATCTTCACGGGTCACCACCATTTGTAACCAAGGAGGTCATACAGCTGTTGGGCAGGAATCTGTTATATTGAATCCAATTATGCGGTCAGTGTGGAAAAAGTACGATATTAACTTGCTATGATGCTGAAAGCTGAATGTTTTATGGGGCGGTGGGGGTAGCCTTGTGATTAAAGCATTTGCTGGTCACTCCGTCACGATTTGATTCCCTACATGGGCACAATGTGTGAAGGTCATTTCTGGTGTCCCCCGTCGTGATTTTGCTGGAATATTGCTAAAAGCGGCATAATACTAACCTCACTCACTACAAGTTTTATCGTTAACTATCAGGCCCTGAGGTGCATCAAACCATTGTTTATGGATGCATCACATAACACAATATGTCTGGACCTGTGAAGATGCAGGTTAAAATTGGTCTTCAGCAATCCATGCTGGTGGTGAAAGGTTAGCAATAGAATCGGGTGGTCAGGCTTGGTGAATTGATTGATGTGTGTCTTTGTATCCGATTGCTTAAATTGATGATTATAGTGTCAATCACTGGATGGTCTGGTTCATATTTGAATATATATAGACTGCCATGACTGAGGCTGAAATATTGCAGAGCGTCATGAAACAACACATGAACAAACAGCCACAAAATATCCTTTGCTCATTTTAAAACATGACGAAACTAGTTCTGTTCCTCAAGTACTTGGAGACAGTTGTCTAAGTCATTTCACTAAGCAGAGGTGCATCTGTCACATGACCAAGAAACCTGTGGTTTTCAATGTACAGTCAAATCCCGATGAGTTGAATGCCGGTGTCTCGAATGTTATGCATAACTCGAAGTACCCGTCGGTCCCGACCATTCCCTGTTATAGTTGTCATCATTTGAATACCGGTTACACGAATTCGACTCATAAATACACACGATGACTCGAGAAGAAAATTTGGTCCCATGAGATTCAAACAACAGCAATCTGGTATACATAAGCCGAAGTCAGTCAATGAGAAGTTGATTGGTGTAGCAAACTGATCCAATTAACAAACCAGCACAGCTCACACCTTTCCACCATTGACGGGTGAGTTCAAAAGGCAGATTAGTGATTTTACGGAAATCACTGTCTGTGCTAATCAGACTGGAACTGATAAGGTGCCCCTATTAGTGATAGGGAAATCATTAGATAAACAAATGCTTAGGCGGAGGAATTAGGACTGGATTATCTTTTTTTCTACCCTCATAGACATACCTATGTCTCGAATACATCGATAAGTCGAATTTATTACTTGGTCCCCAGAGATTCGACTCATCGGGATTTGACTGTATATCCCAGATTTGTCATGATCATATTTCATCCCCATGCCCCAGGGTTTTAAGTGATATACTTCTGATACCTGCGTCACTTTCAAGCTGACACAATAATATAACATGGTGTCAGTCGAACTCACTCACTCAACATGCTTATGAATGGATAAGCCATCCCCTTTCTACAGACTGCTTTTGGGTTTTTGGTCCTCAAAATTCAGCTTATCTGCGGTCATATACAGTACTTCTTTTGTCTGGCTTTTTAACATCCTCCATTATATTACTACAGCTAGAAAATCTGTTTTGTCTGGGGTCTCCACTGGCTGTGTTCCTCGCCCTCAGAGGGATTCGACCCCAGGGGAAGGGCTCGCATGACCACATCCTCCCCACATCGATCTGTAAGAGGCTCTTCAACGTCTACCATCCATCAGACCCTGTGGTATGTATACTGTGTGTCAGATCCTGTGGTGTGTATGTCAGACAGTGTGGTGTGTATATCAGACCCTGTGTTATGTATACTGTGTGTCAGATCCTGTGTTTCTGGTGTCCCCCGCCTTGATCTTGCTGGAATATTGCTAAAAGCGGCGTAAAACCAAACTCAGTCAGTCAGTCAGATCCTGTGGTGTGTATATCAGACCCTGTGTTATGTATATTGTGTGTCAGATCCTGTGGTGTGTATATCACACCGTGTGGTGTGTATGTCAGACCCTGTGTTATGTATACTGTGTGTCAGACCCTGTGGTGTGTATGTCAGACCGTGTGTTATGTATACTGTGTGTCAGATCCTGTGGTGTGTATGTCAGACCCTGTGTTATGTATATTGTGTGTCAGACCCTGTGGTGTGTATGTCAGACCCTGTGTTATGTATACTGTGTGTCAGATCCTGTGGTGTGTATATCAGACCCTGTGGTGTGCATTTCAGACCCTGTGTTATGTATACTGTGTGTCAGACCCTGTGGTGTGTATATCAGACCCTGTGGTATGTATACTGTGTGTCAGACCCTGTGGTGTGTATATTAGACCCTGTGGTATGTATTCTGTGTGTCAGACCCTGTGGTGTTTATGTTAGACCATGTGTTGTGTATACTGTGTGTCAGACCCTTTGATGTGTATTTCAGGCCTACAGACTTGAGCCTCTGTGTCTTAAGCATTATGCTACCATCACGCCCCTCTTGATCCACTTCTATGACAACACCAAGAAAACACCCTATGTGAAGATGAAGAGGAAAGCTTATGCTGCATTCAAGAGCTCATCCGAGGAGTCGGATCAGAAGGGAAGCAAGTTGGATGACAGCATGGAGGGGAGCGGAACTGACGAACAGGATAGTCCTTCACACACCAGGAAGTCTGGGTCCGCGAAAGGACAGAAGTTCTCACTGTGTAAGCACACGAATTCAGAATTCTGAGATTATTATCACTGATTCTTAAGCAACAGATTTAACAGAGACAGGTGAAACACATGTCCTCAGAAAAATTTATCAAGTTCTCCCACACATCAGGGAGCGATAACTCCATCAGATGGTGCTTGCGAGGACCATTAGGAAGTAGGACAACACAAGATGATGGATGATTTGTTTGAGTGGCATTCTTAAAGTTGGTGGTTCATGACTAGGTATTTGTCCATCCCTACAGCTACTGTAAGATATCTGTACTGTTATCTCTGAAGTTATCACACTTCATGTTAGAGGAGGCTGTCTTTACTGTTATATTGGCAGTTATCACACTCCATGTTAGAATAGGCTGTCTTAACTGTTATCATCTCTGCAGTTATCACATTCCATGTTAGAACAGGATGTCTTTACTGTTATATCATCTCTGCAGTTATCACACTCTGTGTTAGAATAGAGTGTCTTCACTGTTATCATCTCTGCAGTTATCTTATTCCATCTTAGAATAGGGTGTCTTAACTGTTATCATATCTGCAGTTATCACACTCAATGTCAAAATAGGCTGTCTTCACTGTTATATCATCTCTGCAGTTATCTTATTCCATCTTAGAATAGGCTGTGTTAACTGTTATCATCTCTGCAGTTATCTTATTCCATCTTAGAATAGGCTGTGTTAACTGTTATCATCTCTGCAGTTATCTTATTCCATGTTAGAATAGGCTGTGTTAACTGTTATCATCTCTGAAGTTATCTTATTCCATGTTAGAATAGGCTGTCTTAACTGTTATCATCTCTGCAGTTATCGTATTCCATGTTAGAACAGGCTGTCTTAACTGTTATATCATCTCTGCAGTTATCTTATTCCATGTCAGAATAGGCTGTCTTCACTGTTATCTCTGCAGTTATCACACTTCATCTTGGAACAGACTGTCTTAACTGTTATCATCTCTGCAGTTATCACATTCCATGTCAGAATAGGCTGTCTACACTGTTATATCTGCAGTTATCACACTCCATCTTGGAACAGGCTGTCTTTACTGTTATCTCTGCAGTTATCACACTCCATGTTGGAACAGGCTGTCTTTACTGTTATCTCTGCAGTTATCTTATTCCACGTTAGAATAGGCTGTCTTTACTGTTATCTCTGCAGTTATCACACTCCATGTTGGAACAGGCTGTCTTTACTGTTATCTCTGCAGTTATCTTATTCCACGTTAGAATAGGCTGTCTTTACTGTTATCTCTGCAGTTATCTCATTCCATGTTGGAACAGGCTGTCTTTACTGTTATCTCTGCAGTTATCTTATTCCACGTTAGAATAGGCTGTCTTTACTGTTATCTCTGCAGTTATCACACTCCATGTTGGAACAGGCTGTCTTTACTGTTATCTCTGCAGTTATCTTATTCCACAGGCTGTGTTTACTGTTATCTCTGCAGTTATCTTATTCCACGTTAGAATAGGCTGTCTTTACTGTTATCTCTGCAGTTATCACACTCCTTGTTGGAACAGGCTGTCTTTACTGTTATCTCTGCAGTTATCACACTCCATGTCAGAATAGGCTGTCTTTACTGTTATCTCTGCAGTTATCACACTCCATGTTAGAGTAAGCTGTCTTTACTGTTAACATGGTTAATATCACTACAGTTATCCTATCCCATGTTAAGGTAGGCTGTCTTTACTGTTATCTCTGCAGTTATCACATTCCATGTTAGAGTAAGCTGTCTTTACTGTTAACATGGTTAATATCACTACAGTTATCCTATCCCATGTTAAGGTAGGCTGTCTTTACTGTTATCATATCTGCAGTTATCACACTCCTTGTTGGAACAGGCTGTCTTTACTATTAACATGGTTAATATCACTACAGTTATCCTATCCCATGTTAAGGTAGGCTGTCTTTACTGTTATCATCTCTGCAGTTATCACACACCATGTTAGAGTAAGCTGTCTTAACTATTAACATGGTTAATATCACTACAGTTATCCTATCCCATGTTAAGGTAGACTGTCTTTACTGTTATCATCTCTGCAGTTATCACACTCCATGTTAGAGTAAGCTGTCTTTACTATTAACATGGTGGTTAATATCACTACAGTTATCCTATCCCATGTTAAGGTAGGCTGTCTTTACTGTTATCATATCTGCAGTTATCACACTCCTTGTTGGAACAGGCTGTCTTTACTGTTAACATGGTTAATATCACTACAGTTATCCTATCCCATGTTAAAGTAGGCTGTCTTTACTGTTATCATCTCTGCAGTTATCACATTCCATGTTAGAGTAAGCTGTCTTTACTGTTAACATGGTTAATATCACTACAGTTATCCTATCCCATGTTAAGGTAGGCTGTCTTTACTGTTATCATCTCTGCAGTTATCACATTCCATGTTGTCTTTTAGCCAAATGGCTGACAGACTTCCGAGCCAACAAGAAGGGGGAGGACTCACTGACAGCAGAACTGAAAATGCTGCAGAAGATGGACAATGATGCTGAGAAGTTTCAGGTGAAAGTGTACTTAGACCCAAAGGACATTGACAAAACTGGTGAGTATTGTCACTCTAGCAGTATACAAAATTATTAGAAATCATCCTCATTTCTTTGTATCAATGAGCTTACTTTTGAGTAAGTGGAAAAAATATATTCACAGATGCTCTAATGGAGAAATAATGTGAATCTGTTGTTATTGGAATTAGAATTGAGAATCCCCAGTGATGCAAGATGGTGCTACTTCCAGAATCATCAGATTTGAGTGATTTCTCTGGATTTTAAATTTTGAATGTCAGTTTTTACTGTTTAGGCCAGACCAATTTTATTTCTTGTTTTACGGATCCGCCGGTCATATTTTTATCAAGAATAAGAAAAAAATTAAAATTAATTTTCCCCACTCAAAAACTAAAATCCTAATGTTTTTATTGGCCAAAAATGTAAACTAACAAATAAAATCATTTTGATTGTTTTTAGCCCCATATACACTTCATAAATTGCCAAAAGTAAAACACTTTTAGTTTTTAAAAGAAATATTACAGAATAACAGAAGTTTATTGTATTTCAGGGCCAGGAGGCCTAGAGTACAGTGTAAGATTTAATTTAAGATATAAATAATTTTTAAAGCGCTATAATACATAATATACAATGCCATTGAGAATCTGGTCAAATGCAACGCATTCTATTTGGGACCATACCCTCATAGCAAAGCACAGACTCCCGCACCCCTGCCGGGCCGAGTCCCATCCAGGACCCGGACCCACACCCACACCCACACCCACACCCACACCCACACCCACACCCCCCACAGCCTGGCACCCACTCGCCAGCACACAGAGTCAGCCGCCCACACTGGGCGGACGGGCTAGGTGTCCAACCCTGTGCGCTGGCGAACAGGCGCACAACTCCGGGGGTGCGGGCCCGAATCCCAGACAGGACCCAACCCAACCCAACATAAGCACGAGAATCCGCACCCCACCAAGAGAGCGCAATCCCAAACACAACATATGTTACTCTATAATCTTGCTTTGAATACTTTATAGAAGTAGGTGGCTAAGCGGAGCAAAAGGAATATTAATTTGACTGGTGATTTATATTTTTAATTTTTTTCCCTCCTGCTTTTAGGTTTTCTGAGGACAAAAATCCGTAAAACAAGAAATAAAAGTGGTCTGGCCTTACTTTGGCTATGGGCCGAAGTTTTAGTGATCTTCATCATCACTTTAATTCTTTATTTGTTTCCATAGGAAAATATTGTTTTCTAGCCGCGACTAGCTGCAAAGTTGCTTATGCGGCTAAAACAACAATTACTCACTCACTCTGGCTTAAACCACGTTATGGTTGCCACATAATTTCTCTATAATGTTGCATTATGGTGTGAAGTGAGGGCAATTTTACTTGCTTGAAATGAACTTTGTGAATTGACTGTGAATTCCTGGCTTAAAATTCATTGCAAGAACAAGAACACGACAATCAACAGAATGGTATGAACGATAAGATTAGTCTGTCAAGGCTTCACTGTTGACTGTACTGTTCACTGTTTTCACTACATTATAGCCGGGTTCAAAAGATGGCTTAGAATGTACCAGATTGGTGAGTTTATCAGCTGAGGATATAATATTTGGTGCTTAACTTTACAATAAACTATTAAACCCCATTTTCTTTCTCTATGATATGCAGCCCCCTGGACTACAACTCTAACATGCTTTTCAGTTCAATTTTATTTAAATTAAACCCCGGTCCTTTGTTTTATCAGTTTGTTTTATTCTTTTATATCAAATCTTTTTGACGGTTTTACCCAAGTTCTATGAATCATCATTATAGCATTCCATTCATAAGAAGTTACAGAATGCTTAATTTGGCATTCTTAACTTGTTTTGAGCTATGTATAATCAACATTTCTAGTAGTTGAAAATACTCACAGGCCAGTATAATTCATTATTAGATAGTCTTCCTGATGAGCTCACAACGGAACTCATCCACAACCTTATTTCATTTGTTGTTTGGCTGTATTACATTTTTGTTAGTTAATAAGTCTTTTCCTTCATGGGGCGGTGGGGTAGCCTAGTGGTTAAGGTGTTCGCTCATCACGCCGAAGACCTGCGTTCGATTCCATACATGGGCACAATGTGTGAAGCCCATTTCTGGTGTCCCCCGCCGTGATATTGCTGGAATATTGCTAAAAGCGGCATAAAACCCAACTCACTCACTCACTCACGTTTCCTTCATTATCTCTATTTCAACGAATTGAAAAGTAAGGATTGTGATATGCCTTCTTATTGACTGTTCAGGAAAGGATAGTGATTATCTAATAATTTATGCTGGCCATGAGTTTAAACATTTGATTCTTAGTGAATGCTTTTGAAAGATTGGTGCCAGCAGACAGGCGGCCGATACAGAATTTTGCATGGAGGGATTTATTAGGATGGTGATGATGCCTTCAAACATGGTTACTTGTGTTATTATCCTCTGTTAATTTTCTCATAGTACTCATTGGTTAATGTGGCAATGTTTGGGAATCAAGTCAGCCAGGGTCCACTGTGGATAAAACTGCAGTATGCTTACTACTGTATTGAGTCAGGGAAGGTGGGGTAGCCTAGTGGTTAAGGCGTCGTTGTCACGCTGAAGACCTGCGTTCGATTCCACACATAGGTACAATGTGTCAAGCCCATTTCTAGTGTGCCCCGCCGTGATATTGCTGGAATATTGCCAAAAGCGGCGTAAAACCATACTCACTCACTGTATTGGGTCATGTAAAGTTCTGTCAGAGTTTCTTTGTAATTGTATCTTTAATAATTTTATGGAGATTTTCGATTTTTTAATGTTTTTTGCCCCATAATTGTCAATTTTGGACAACAAGTTCTTGACCATACTCTGGGCAAAAGAAGGGAGTGGCTACTTTCTTCCACTTTTTAAGGCAAAAAGAAGGGACAGGTTACTTCTTGCAACTTCTTGTAAATAATGGAGGAAGTATTGGGTTTCTACTTTAGATACCTTCTATTTTAGACAATTCTTAATACTTATGTTGTATTGGTTCTAATGATAAACTTTGTTCCTTGAAAGACAGTCCATAAAATTTCTTGTTTGACAAAGGAGTTTCCTATTTCTTTTAAAAGAGTATATCAAATTTAAACATGCCAGATTTACTTTATCATGAATATTGTCAGCCATATACAATGTAAAAAATGTTGGATTACTTTATGTGTTAATGTTCAAATCATGTTTTTGCCTCCATGTTTGTATGATGGTAAGCTAGGTTGTGATATACTCATTTCAACTTTTTTGATGTGTACCTGGTTGTTGTCCCCAGAGTTGGAGTATCGCCTTGACTACCAGCTGAGGGAGAGGAGTCTGGAGAACAGCTACATGTCGGTGCTCACCTCACACTTCTGCTACTGGACAAACAAAGACATTGCATTTTTCATACTCACCCATCTACATCCAGAGCTACAGGAGCCCTAGGAATCCTGCCAAATCTGAACACAACACTTAAAAGGAATGGGACACTTTTCTTGAACACCTGCTAACACAGTTCCAGGAACTATGGAACATCAGCTGAACTCAGCTTCTGGAGGCATAGGACACTTCTCTCTGGAACATTTACTGAACACAGCTCCTGGAGGCATGGGACACTTCTTTCGTGAACATCTACTGAACACAGCTCCTGGAGGAGGCATGCATAGGACACTTCTTTCTGGAACATCCATTGAACTCAGCTTCTGGAGGCATAGGACACTTCTTTCTGGAGCATCTACCGAACACAGCTCCGGAGTCATAGGACACTTCTTTCTGTAGCATCTACCGAACACAGCTCCTGGAGGCATAGGACACTTCTTTCTGGAATATCTACTGAACACAGCTCCTGGAGGCATAGGACACTTCTTTCTGGAGCATCTACTGAACACAGCTCCTGGAGGCATAGGACACTTCTCTCTGGAACATCTACTGAACACAGCTCCTAGAGGCATAGGACACTTCTCTCTGGAACATCCATTGAACTCGGCTCCTGGAGGCATAGGACACTTCTTTCTGGAGCATCTACTGAGCACAGCTCCTGGAGGCATAGGACACTTTTTTCTGGAGCATCTACTAATGCAGCACACAGGACACTTCTTCGTGGAAAATCTTCTAAACACAACTCCTGGAGTCATAAGACAATTCTTTCTGGAACATCTACTTAAGACAGCCTAGGGTGCATTACACCCATACACTGGAATATCAAAACAAAGCATACTTTACCCAGGGACATCAACACCAAGAACTACAAGAGCCATGTAACAACATCATCTTTGAATCTTGCAATGATGAAAAACAGAACATGTAAGCTGACTGATCATCCTGCTCCTACATCCAGAACTGGGGTATATTTGGCAGCATCTTCTTCTAGAAAAAAGGATGTGTTTGACAGCTTCATCCATGAACATATACACCCATACCTGCAAGACTTGCAGGACCTTTTCATCTTGGTATGCTGAAATCTGCACAGCAAACACCTCCATCAGGAAATCCGACACTGACACCAGTCATCAAGCAAGTCTCCACAACAAGAGTTGCAGGATTACATGATTAGAAGACACCTTGTCCAAAGCTACATAAGACAGATGTCTTCCTCAATATCTCCAACAAATGCTTTGCTAACAACACCTTACAGTGTCAGGTATAAGTTGTACAATTATACACCACTGCCTTTACAATGACCAATGAAATTGTTGGCATGCTGCACTAGTTCTATGTGTAAATTATACGTGAACCTCTGTCAAAATCTACTGCTATTGGAAATCCCATGACAAAGAAATGATGGATGGATGTTGAATAGTATGAACATAAATAGATAACAAAGAAAACGTTATCCTGACATTCTCATCCAAACCTCATAGTCAAAACAAGTTTGATCATTAGCAGCGTCCAGCAGAACTGAACCATGACATAGCTTTCTGGAGAACAATCTAACAGAATATCTCTCCCTCCTTTCCTTCATATCCTCCATACTCTATTTGGAATTTAACGTCAGGAAGCTGAGTGAAAGATTTGGGGAAATGTTAGACCTTGGACAGTCAGTATTCTGTCACATTCTAGTTTCATCAAGCTCAGGGGAGACAACTGCCATCAGTACAGGTCCTTGTCCTACAAAACAACTGCTGCCTTAATCAGAATCAAAATGTAGACAGCTCAAACATAACCGACGTACAGTTTGTCATTATCCTGTATTTTGTGACCACATAGTGTGTTAAGCCTAATGATGGTGCTATTGTGATTGTATTTGTCTCAGTTCCGGATTCATTATGCTGCTGATCTATGTTCCTGTACAAAATGTTAGCATGTTGACAGAGTGAGAAGGTTATGAGGGAAACGTTGGACGACAAACGGTGCTCTTTATGTTCTGCAATGATGTTCAGTTCAGGGAAGGTTTGTTGCTGTGCGTGAAATCTGAATGTAGTTCAATCTCATGTAATTAACTCAGATGTTTATTGCCTGACTTGTTAGCTGTAATTCTCAATCTGAGAGACATATTTTGTTGAAATGGGGTATTCAGGATGTGAACTTCTTTTATCTCAGTGGACCAACCCAACCAAATGTCGGTGTCCTGTTCCATCACTATCAGTTCAGGATGTAGGATTGGTCAACTATTGACTCAAAGTTCTCAAATTACAGAGTTGTGTCCCCTTGTCTGCCTGGATCTTCTTGATGTGAATTAACATCCCAGGTTTGCCCTTGTAATGAGCAGCAACATCACAAGTTTAATGGGTTTATCTAATGTGGTCATCATGTACAATAGCCATTAATTTGTATTTTCTCACACACCGATCACAGAATCCCATCCATTCCCACCAAAACCATCCCAACACACCATCTTACCCACAGCATCCTATTCAACGAATGAAAACAATTATCAGACAGATCACACCGAATGATGCATTATCAAATCTAAACCCGAAATAAAAATCAATGTCTGTTTGTAAACCATCACATTTGCAGATAATTTTTCTCTTTTGTGGAAAATACTCATCAACATAGATTTAAACAAAATCTCAGAATGTTAAGCATACTGAGTTTAAAATTATGATCCATCAGTACATCATTTCAGCCTTAGTGACTTATTTATAAGAGGAGCAGTGGGGTAGCCTAGTGATTAAAGCGCTGGTTGTCATGCTGAAGACCCATGTCGGATTCCCCACATGGGTACATGGTGTGAAGCCCATTTCTGGAATCCCCCCCGGCTTGAATTTGCTGGAATATCGCTAAAAGTGACGTAAACCATACTCACTTTCTCACTCACTGACTATAAGTTATTTCCACACACTGCAAACTGTGATAGGGACTTGTGTCGATGAAAGCTCCAAGAGCACCCAGAGGCCTTGAAATGCTCAGCTATCACCACACTGGACAGACACAGAAGCACTCCTGTGTCGGAGATCCATTGTCAGAAATCCAGGAGGAAATACTGTTTCTGTGGCTTTGTGAAAAAAAATATTTCCATATTAATTTCACATTCCATATTTTTACATCAAGATTTTCAAATATACATGTGAATGTGTTGTGATTCATGATTTTTGTTACATGTTTTCAACAAAACCTCCACTGTGACATGTCCTGTTTGATCAAATCTGGTACCTGATAGAATGTATGTGTATTTATCTGTGTGAATGTGGTCTGGTTTGATTCCGATTCTCTTTCCGTGTCGATCCGTGATTTGAAGTCTTTGATTCACCCAGTGTCTTTCTTGTGGAAATGTTGCGATTATACTACTGGTGCATACCATTTTGTTGATTCCAGTTATTTGCCTGACATACATGTATACATATTATGTATATACCATCACTATAATCATCCTGCTTGTTGTGTTGAAGAATCAGTGTAATGGTATGGTTAAGACTAGACTTGCACAAGTCTCTAGCATTCAGTACAGCCTTAGAGCCAGTCTAGGTGCAGACCTGTGTTTAGAAGTACTGTTCAGACCACGGTATACAATATTTATGAAAAAAAACAACCCATATGTAATCCAAATTCTCTTTGTGACTTTAAGAGTATCAGGTGTTCAAACATATTCCTGTGTATTTGTCAGAACATCAAAAAGGCTACGCTTTGCTATATGCTGCCTATGCCCAATCCACATTAGGTGACCACATGTGAGTCATCATAAGTGAAATTTCCATAGACTCCAATTAACTGTTACAAGAATAATTTTCATAAATTGAGTTGAAGTCATTTTATTTTGATATTTTGCAAACCTCTCGGCAATCATCTTCAGCTACGTGTACATAACTTTATTTCATCTTTCCATTGATTAGTTATCGAATGACACCTGATTTAGCACCATGTATAAGTTCAACTTTTACTCTATCCCATACACAGCCATGTTAAACCTGATTGGTATGTCTAATATATGTTGTTTAAATAGTTGCAGTTTTCTTAATAACCATCGGAAAATTGAATGGAAATTATGTGTATGTAGCTGAGATGATTTCCCAGCTGGTAGATAAGTACTGAAAGCAATTCGACCAAAACTAAATTTATGAAGATTATTCTTGCAAGAGTTAATTAACATGCAAGTCTATGTGAATTTCACTAATGATGACTCACTTATGGCCAACTACTGTAGATCTAGACGATAGCAAAGATATAGATACATTCTATGTATGTCTTTGACAATAGTGAATAGTCATAGAATATTTATGAGGTTAATACCTGTTTTCAGGGGCTGGGAAAAGGCAATATCGGCTCCTTAAAGGTCAATATTGTTTTTTTATAGGTCATTTGAACTAAACTGGTTTTGGCCTCATATTAGGTATAGGATTGGTGTATTATAAAATGAGATTTTTAAAATGTGTCAAACTTTGTCAGCAACAATAGTGGTAGTTTATAACAAACAGTTATTTGCTTTTGTTGTGTTTGGGGAATAATAATAATGAGGCTGTTTATATAGAATAAAGTTTCACACCACTGGTAAACATGCTCAGTGTACATGTCCACTTCTGGGGAATTCCCATTCTATTTTTAGTTACAAGTAAATATTGTATATCATCAGACAGAACTTGGAATCATAGAACATTCTGTTGAATGACCTGTGACCACATTTCAGTCAATGAATTTGGGGGATTTCTTTGCTCTATATGAACCTAGTCATTGTCCAGGAGAATTTCACAAGTCTGTTTTGGTGTTGGCTGATGTTTAATTGGTTTTAGAATATGGCTACAGTTACTACCCATTTTCATTTTATGTAATGTCTGCAAATCACAGAAGAGAAGTAAAAGAAACAGATATAAGTTGTTCATATGAGCGATATTTCCTTAAAACATTCAGTTTCCAAATGCTTCTTTTTCAAGTTGACATACAGTGATCAAATTGAAGTACTGTTCAAAGCAGCATTAAACCAAACATACTCAATCAATTGTAGTTCTGTGATTCGAAAAAGACGTAGAAAAAAGCATAGGTGATTCTAGATTCTAGATTTGATTAGATTTGCTAATATGGCCATGAGTATTTGTGCCGAAACACACATTCCGTCATACTTGTAATGACATTAAGCACTGCTTGAATTTCGTCATCATTATCACAAAATGTATTTTTAAGAGACCCGCACTGATTATATTTTAAAGACAACATTGATAATGGTGCCTTTTCAGAGAGCTGTCTGGATCCAAACATGTGGCACGAACTGACCATGAGCTATTATACATTCCATCACCGTAGGTACAGTTGTCACTAGTGCCAGAGACATGTGATGTCATTCATGGGGTATGATGGTTCTTGATATATTGTTACCATTTTTCTGTTAATAGTTAGAAGTTAGATTTGTGATGTTGATTGCAGCCAAACATCATCCTGATTATTTGTTGTCCTGTTGAAAGAATCTTGTTAATTGTCCATGTGTGTCATGACGTCCATGTCTGTCATGACGTCCATGTCTGTCATGACGTCCATGTGTGTCATGGCGTCCATGTGTCATGACGTCCATGGTCTGTCATGACGTCCATGTCTGTCATGGCATCCATATCTGTCATGACGTCCATGTCTGTCATGACGTCCATGTCTGTCATGACGTCCATGTCTGTCATGATGTCCATATCTGTCATGATGTCCATGTCTGTTATGATGTCCATGTGTGTCATGATGTCCATGTCTGTCATGACGTCCATGTCTGTCATGGAATCCATATCTGTCATGATGTCCATATCTGTCATGACGTCCATGTCTGTCATGACGTCCATGTGTGTCATGACGTCCATGTCTGTCATGGCATCCATATCTGTCATGACGTCCATGTCTGTTATGACGTCCATGTCTGTCATGATGTCCATATCTGTCATGATGTCCATGTCTGTTATGATGTCCATGTGTGTCATGATGTCCATATCTGTCATGACGTCCATGTCTGTTATGAGGTCCATGTCTGTCATGATGTCCATGTCTGTCATGACGTCCATGTCTGTTATGATGTCCATGTCTGTCATGATGTCCATGTCTGTCATGACATCCATGTCTGTCATGTGTCCATGTCTGTCATGGTGTCCATGTGTGTCATGATCACCTTGTCTGTCATGATGTCCATATCTGTCATGACGTCCATGTCTGTTATGATGTCCATGTCTGTCATGATGTCTATGTCTGTCATGATGTCCATGTCTGTCATGATGTCCATGTGTGTCATGATCACCTTGTCTGTCATGATGTCTATGTCTGTCATGATGTCCATGTCTGTCATGATGTCCTTTAATCCTTATCCGTGGTTAACAACTCATGACACGTAGCACAAGTAGGATGTGACTGTTGTCAAAATTGAACTCTACAATCAACAGGCATACTGGTCCTTGCGATAACTTATGTAAGTAACGATGACAATTATCAATCTTCCAGCACCATCAGGGAGACAGTTCTATCTGGTTTCCAAATGGGTGGACAAGCTGTATACAATGAGGCTTGTGCGTGCCGATCTTGGTTTTTTGGCTGATGTATCCTTGTTATTAGATGATAGCACTTTGCTGACATAAATTGTGTGGGAAGTGTATGCCTGTTGATAGTAGACTAGCACCGCTATGTACTTTGCTATGTACAAACAAGGCAGAGTCTTGTTAGCTTATTGTACAGACAACTGAAACCCAGCCATGACAGATATCCTGACAAAACCTTGGGTGATGCTGATTGGGCAACAGCCCAGCTCTGCTACAGCACTGATTGGTTAAGTCTCCATGTTGTAATCCACTGGTTGTTTCCATTCACTGTATGGAGAGTATTTTATAGTAATCGTCTCAGAAGATGAAACACCAAGAGTTTTTGACTGTATTATGTTCCTGGAAACAACTAAAAAGCCAAATGATGTTTATGCACGATGTTAAATGTTACGTTCCTAGTCAGCTGAAAAATGACAATCAGACATTTTATCGTCTAGATGTTGTACGTCAATCAACACGTGTTTATGACATTCAGGCAGTAATCATAAAAAGAATATATATTTTCAGAACCAATGAAGTATTATCAACTGTTACCATGGTTACCATGGTACATCATGTTGATGTATTTGTTCCACATACTGCTCAGGACAAGGAGTGGCATTGTGTGTGTTCTCTGGTGCCAAATGCCTTGTACACACATGGCTTTCACTGGATTAACCATAACCTTGTTTATCAGTGGATCGCTTTAGGTTCGAGATTGTAGAAACTGCCTGTCTTTGTGAATGAAGTGTATATTGCAAATTCCTGTCTATATTTTACTGTAAATTCATTTCATTAGGCAAGACAATTGTTTTTCATTGATAGGTCTCTAAATATTGTTGTGTATGATTGATACTTTTGGAATCAACTTCAGGTTTGTCGTTACATTTCAAGAGGTGAATTTTAGAAAAGTAATCTTAATCAAACATTTCCCCATTTAGTTTATTTTGATTCAAACTGCTTTCCGCATTGAGCAAAAAAATCTGTGAATTAAGCTGGTGTGACCTGTTCGTGAAAAGTAAGGGGAATGGTGTCAAAGAATCAAATAGTGGTATTTTTCATTTTCATTTACTAAGTGAATATGCCAAACACTTATAGTAGAGGTCAGCTAGATTGTAGACTGCATATTCATAAGGAATGCATGACTGAACATGCTCACCAGCTTAGGGATGAGTATTTTATTGATTTGACACTTTGCATGAAAAAAGACTAAAAATATATTTCAACATTTCATTTTCTGGTGTCCCCCACTGTGATATTGCTGGAATACTGCTAAATGTGGCATAAAACTAAATTCACCCATTTCAAGACACCCAGCACACTGCACTTGTGGCATCAGATCCATTTAACAGGGCCCAGAATATGGTGTTCCAAAGTTTCTTGGCACCGTTGTACTTTATACCATTTTTATTTTTTATTTTTCTGGCAAGCAGGGTTATTGCAGATTAACTGTATCTTCAAGTTTTGTTATGTCTTGATATATGTTGTCCATGTTGTTATATCGGAAGTATACCCAGTTAGCGATTAGAACTTTCTACTATGGGAGATATATCAGTATATGCTGGTTGAACCATTGTGATACTAGTTGTGTGGCTGTCATTTATTGTGGCCTATTATCTGTGAACAACCGCTCACCAAACTACCTGTCTCATTGTAACAATACTAATCGTTGTTTTGTTGTCTGAAAATATTTATTAGTTACATGCAGTCATTATATCATCAGTAGACATTGGTTTGGTTTATTTGCCAACACCCCGCTGTGAGAATCATTGGGTTTCTGATTCCAACACATATTTGGGACAGACCATTTGAAAGTTTAAGGGGATCTGGGAACGGTATGGATGCTAGATATTTTCTCAGCTACGTCTTTAAAACCAGATATTTTATAATGAAAATTAAAAGTCTCTTTCTTTTTTTAAGAAACAGTTTTCAACAATAGATATATTGTGTATTATACAGTTAGAACCCATTTTTTCAAGAAGTTACTGAGACGGTAAAGTCCCAGACCTAAACCCAGAATATCAAATGGTTTGTCCCTAATGGGACTTTGAACACTTAGGGTCCCCCTCCCTGATATTGCTGGAATATTGCTGAAAGCAGCGTAAAACTAAATTCACTCACTCACTCAATTTGAACACTTAGGGAATACCATTAAATTTTATCAATAGTGCCAACCAGGCTGGTAACAATTCCTTGCTATTCCTTACTTGCAAGATAAATCATCTTCCATGAGATGTGATCTTCATCAAATGTTTGTGAGGTTAGTTGCAAAAAATATGTTTACCTGCAATTTAGAAAAGGTTATTGAACTTACTGTTAACATATCCTTTTAACTATGAGAGAATGGCATTGGTACTTTTGTTCTAAATCAATATCAACCTACTTCCCACCCCTTTCCCAAATTCATCCCTAATATTGGGCAAATTTACACTGTACTTACAAGTTCTTTTGAATATTTTTTGTGTACTTCCATTCAATTTAGGTCTTGACTTTAGAGTAAGTGTACTTATATTTAGGTCTTGACTTTAGAGTAAGTACTTATATTTAGGTCTTGACTTTAGAGTAAGTGTACTTATATTTAGGTCTTACTGTTCATGAAATTTGTTGGGTGATTGTTATGTATTTGTCAGGATACATCATTCCAAATTTGTACTGTTGATGTTTTGTTTGTGAAGTGTTTTTATTGTTGAATGGATCTCTTTAAGTTTTGTTATTTACCTGTTTGTTAACACAACTTGTCAATCAAAACCTTTTGCTTGTGGGAACCCCTTGTTCCTGCTTACAGATAATGTACAGGTGGAAACCACTGTTCATGTTTACAGATAATGTTCTAGTTGAAACCCCTGTTCATGTTTACAGATAATGTTCTAGTTGAAACCCCTGTTCATGTTTACAGATAATGTTCTAGTTGAAACCCCTGTTCATGTTTACAGATAATGTTCTAGTTGAAACCCCTGTTCATGTTTACAGATAATGTTCTAGTTGAAACCCCTGTTCATGTTTACAGATAATGTTCTTGTGGAAACCACTTTTCATGTTTACAGATAATGTTCTAGTGGAAACCACTTGTTCATGTTTACAGATAATGTTCTAGTGGAAACCCTGTTCATGTTTACAGATAATGTTCTTGTGGAAACCACCTGTTCATGTTTACAGATAATGTTCTAGTTGAAACCCCTCTTCATGTTTACAGATAATGTTCTTGTGGAAACCACCTGTTCATGTTTACAGATAATGTTCTAGTGGAAACCCTGTTCATGTTTACAGATAATGTTCTAGTGGAAACCATTGTTCATGTTTACAGATAATGTTCTTGTGGAAACCACCTGTTCATGTTTACAGATAATGTTCTAGTTGAAACCCCTGTTCATGTTTACAGATAATGTTCTTGTGGAAACCACCTGTTCATGTTTACAGATAATGTTCTAGTTGAAACCCCTGTTCATGTTTACAGATAATGTTCTAGTGGAAACCACTTGTTAATATGTATAGATAACATACAGGTACTAGTGAAAACACTCTGTTCATGTTTAGAGTATTTCTATCAGTGTATTATGAATGACAGTTGAGCAGAATTTTCAGAACAATTTGACCATCTCAGAACAGATTTTTTTTTTCAACAACAGCTGCAAAACCATATGTTGTATTTAGTTATATCCATGAGTCTGAATATTTTTTAGCAAAAGCGTCTTGCTGCAATGTAATCTTGTTAAAAGTGTCGCAGTTTATTTTTCAAGAATTTTTTGAGACAATGTCTCTTTTTTTTCGATAAGATCCCAGACCCAGGCCCAGACCTGGACCTAACCCTTACCCTTACCCTTACCCTTACCCTTACCCTTACCCTTACCCTTACCCTTACCCTAACCCTAACCCTAACCCTAACCCTAACCCTAACCCTAACCCTAACCCTAACCCCAGACCCAGACCCAGACCCTGAACCAGAACCAGATTATGGAGTGTCTAATCCCTTAGGGGCACTATATGTTGAATTAAGTGTCCTCTTCCCAGTTCCAAAGAGCCATTTAAATACTGCAAACATCAGGTTCCATCACTGTGCAAAGATTTCTTTGAGGAATAATCCAGGGTTGTAACGTTATACATTGTTTATTGTTAACCTGTATTAAATACCTGCCACCCTAAAATTTACTTACCAGTTTGTCAGGTGTCTTTTAGTATTATTTTTCTGGTTTATTGTTTCAGAAATTGTATTCCTTCATCCCTGAGTGCACAATATAGTTTTCTGTGTGTTTACACTTCACCATTGAAACATGTTGGACTACAACTTATGTTAAACCATTATACATAACCATACATTTTGATATTTATTATTTGACTTGTCTGTTCATTCTGATCAATTTCATGCTTACAAATGACCAGATTTACTGTATATATGTTGATTAATTGCTCGTTTATTACAGTGTATTTATGAGCTGTATATATTTTCACAAATCTTAAGACTCACTTTCTATAATATCCTAATCCGTCAGTAATTATTGGTATAATGTCAGCAACATAGATTTTGATTTTGCTTCAAGGCATATGCTATGACATACTGGAGGTTAGGGCTGGCTAAAATAATCGATAATCAGGAGGATTGTCGATAGGAAACATTATTAATGATTATCAATATGAAAATTGTGTTATCGATAATCTTGTACATTTACTTTTTTGACAGATAAAAGTATTTATCTTCTCACACAATATGCAAATGCAGGACTTCATTCATGGTCTGGGTCCCGTTCCTCAAAGCGATCGCTACAACTGTCGTAAGTCTATGTTAAAGGATCGTCTTAGCACTGATCGCTTTGAGGAACTGGCCCTGATCTCAGTTATGTTCAGGATACAGTTTTGTTAATAATCCATGCATAAACATGTCAAAACTCACCAGTGATGTGGAATATATTCATTTATTTCAGACAGTTTTGACATATTTGCTAAAAGTTACGTATCCGATATCTATCGATAATCAGTATTTTGTTAGCAATTATTGATCTCTATGATTTACATTGATAGCCAGCCCAACTTAAGGTACAATAGGAATATACAAGAGGCTGTTGGAGGGGTCATGTAGTTGAAGGCAGGTGTGTTAGGGAGTGAATATTGTTACACCTGTTGTTAGATCATTACACTTGCACTTTACTTAAGTGTACAAACTGCATGAAGGTTTGGCTGATCACCTGTTTGGAAAATATTCGGGACAGCCAGCTGCCCAGTGTAGCTTTAAGTCACAATGGTTTATAGAGAGCAGCACCGATTTAAGGCTACAGCAGCTATCAACAGTTTGGGCATGGTTGTGAATTCTGACCCCAATGATACAGTTCAAGTTCTTCACATATTACAGCATGTTATATCTTTGCATTTGTAGGTTATAGTTGGTTATACATTATTTAAAATGTTTTTCCTCTTCAAACAGACCACAGTCAAAATGTCATGCCCACTGTTGCCATGTTTAGATTATTTAGTTGTGATCACCAGAATTCAATTCCACTATTTTCCTGCATTTTAATTATATCAAATTTGTTTAGTTAACAGGGGTTCATAGTGGTGACTTAGACAATGAACCATAATTTACATAACAGTTTATATCAACTGATTACTGAGTAATTAAAGTAATTTTGAGTAATTTTGCTATAACATAAATAAGACATGCACTTAAACCTTGAAACAAAGCATAGCAAGATTTATAAAAATGTTAATTCTTAATAATGAAAACTCTTAAATTTGGTTGTCTTTTTTAAATTAATCCAGTTATCCTTAGACATTTGGTGACTAACATCACCAGTAATTTTTATAATCATTAAAGTTATATATATTTTGTTCATTTACACCAAACTAATGATTTACACATTTTCTATTTATTTACCAATAAACATAATGCATGACCAATGTATATGATTTGATTCAATATAAGATATTATTTATTACACATGTGCAAAGGAAGAGCAAAGCTTGTAGATATAGCCAGATAGTTTAGCGATCCCAGGTAATGACTGTTACATAATCCATATGTATTGATGCCTAATGTCAACATCTGTTGAGTGTATTGTAAGCTCTGTTCAATCTTGCCCAATTTTTGTTCTCATCAAAGACAGCCAGTGCCTCGTCCCACAAAGCGATCTTGGCGTTAAGGTGATTGTAAGTACCGTACTTGAACATATTTTTGCGTCTTTGTTGCGCTAAGATGGTTTTGCGGAACGGGGTACAGGTTTGGAACCCTTCGCTTACAGTGCAATATTTGTTATTTGCGTTCCCGAATGCCAAGATATTTTACGCCCGCTTTACTCACTTGCATCATGTCATTGTTGAGACGACTAAGCGCCTTGGAAGTTTTGTCATGACAGAGGTTGGGTATATTTTCAGGAATAAAGTATTTCTGATATAATACATCTGTGTATGTTGTCTATGAAGATGTATGTTAGACTTGATCCGTGTTGTGGACGTCCGAGACTCCTGTGAGTTTAGTTTTACGCCGCACTCAGCAATGCTCTAGCTAAATGGCGGCGGTCTGTAAATACAGTGGACTCTGTACAATCCGACACTCACTGGGCCCGGAAAAATGTCGGATTATTCAATATCTCCTTGCTTGAATACTTTTTAAGCAGTACCATACATAGTTACTGGCTTCTATCATGAAATTAATGCTTAATAAGGGGCGGTGGGGTGGCCTAGTGGTTAAAGCATTGGCTCGTCATGCCGAAGACCCGGGTTCGAATCCCCACATGGGTACATTGTGTGAAGCCAATTTCTGGTGTACCCCGCCGTGATATTGCTGGAATATTGCTAAAAGCGGCGTAAAACCAAACTCAGTCAGTCAGTAATGCTTAATAGCTATTTGCTTGGTAAATAAACAGGGGGAAAACAAATTCTGTATTTACATGTACATGTATATCATTGGATGTATTATATTCAGTACAATATACATACATGTACTACTATCACAATCATATTCACACTTTCTTGAAAAAGTCCTCCATTTTAGACTGGCGTTACTTCATTTTCGACTCCAGTACAAAGTTCTCAGTTTCAGGTTCAAGGACGTTGACTAGCTGAAGCAACCTGGGTCTAGATTTTCGAAGCTCTCTTAGAGCTAAGATAGTCGTAAGTGCCATACATTAACATTAACTTACGACTATCTTAGCTCTAAGAGAGCTTCGAAAATCTAGGCCCTGGTCACTTGTCTGGTGGCAAACTTCTTGATTGCTATACTCGAGTCTGGACCAGACAATCTGGAGACTCCTGTGAAGATCCGGGGTGGAATTGGTTACATGACAAACCATACTGGTACCGACTAAATGGATCGGGTGGTCAGACCTACCGACTTCGCTGATACAAGTCACCGTATCCGGCACGTTAGATTATGTTCATGATGTTAATCATTATTGTCTGGTCTGGACTCGATTATTTACAGAACCCACATTTACATATACCTGAACAAAAATGTGCTTAAACCGAACTTTTCTCACAGAACCCCGACAATAAATCTTAGATAATGTCAACTCTAGTCCAGGGTTTTGGGGTGGGGTAGCCCAGTGGGAAAAGCGTTCGCTCGTCACGCCGAAGGCCCGGGGTCGATTCCCCACATGGGTAAAATGTGTGAAGCCCAATTCTGGTGTCCCCCGCAGTGATATTGCTGGAATATTGCTAAAAGCGGCGTAAAATCAAACTCATTCAATCACTAGTCCAGGGTGAGTCGGTGTGTGTAGATTGCCTGAGCTCAGGGGTGTGTCCAAATCTGCCTGGTTCACAGGCGAGGTTGTGACACGTTTATTTCGTGTGATCGTGTTCCGTCTACGAGTTAACAGCTGATTTGGATAACCCCTACTGACTCCTCTGCTCCCGCCGTGATATTGCTGGAATATTGCTGAAAGCGGCGTAAAACTAAACTCGCTCACTCCTCTGGACCCTTCTCTTCCTTGTGGAACGGTGGGGTAGCCTAGTGGTTAAAGCGTTCTCTCGTCACGTCTAAGACCCGGTTCGATTCCCACATGGGTACAATTAGACTAAGGCTTAGTCTCTGAATATATATAATTTTGATAGTAACAAACAAGCCCATTTATATTGAAAAGGAGCCCTAGGGAGACCAGAGATTCAGACCTGAACCTGAGGAAATCTAGACTTTCTTTATTTCGGGCTTTAGCACTACAGAGAGGGCTTGGCAGTAGGGAAATTAATGTGGTTCAGGGACTGTGAGACAGACTAGGGTACAATGTGGGAAGCCCATTTCTGGTGTCCCCCGCCATGTTATTGCCGGAATATTGATAAATGCGGAGTAAGACTACACTCACTCCCCCACTCTATCCCTTGTTTTAACCGAATACATTTCAGTTTGTTGGAGTTCCCAGTTACACAATGTACACTATACTATGTACTGGGTTGAGGAAGAGGAAGTCTCCCTGCATTGAACGTTCAGAGATATAATTGTAATGAAATAAGGCAGTTTGTAACATTGGATTTTGTTCAATACATTAGATAATTGTATTTCTGGTACTAAATGTTAGTCTCAACCTGATCTCGCTCTCTGAACCCTCCAGGATCGTCGCAGCGCGATATCCAGAGTTGTGTCTCTTTGCCTTGTCTTTTCATATCTGAGTTTACCCGTACGTTTTAACCTTGTGGGCGAATCGCAGTGCTGATAACGTATCGTGTGAATTCTGATATTCTTCATTTCTAGACATTGGTGGAAAGGATTCCACACACCCTTTTCTGTCAGTGGTACCACATTCTTAGAAGAACCTAACTGGATTATAGCAATCTACCACTGGTCTGGCTGGTTCTCGACGCGAGAGACTACCGCATATGATTTGATTGTGGACATGATGTACAACATTCACTCTCACTTATCACAGGTACATATTTCAGTTTCGCGTTTTTGCATGTGTGTTGTAGTAGTTTTGAATATGTTCAAACACATTCCGTTCATCTTCGTTGAAGCCAGGGCGGTTGGGTAGCCTAGTGGTTAAAGCGTTCGTTCGTCACGCCAAAGATCCGGGTGCTGTTCCCCATTTGGGTACAATGTGTGAAGCCCATTTTTCTGGTGTCCCCCGCCGTGATATTACTGGAATCTTGCTAAAGTCGGCGTAAAAACTCACTCACTCACTCGCTCACTCGTTGAAGCTGCACTGTGGTGTAGGGGATGGGACGTCTGTCTGGAAGGAGTTAGGTCCATTGTTCGATCCCCGTTGCGTACCACAAGACGCTTCCCTTGCCAGGCGTTCATTATTGAGGGAATCGTAGACAGTAAGCTGTGTTAAAGTTGTGTATCTGTGTTAAAACGCAGCGCGGTATTTAGTGGACAAGCACTATAACCCACGGTATCAGTACGGACAAGCAGTACATGCGGTAGCGAACCAACACACACAACTACGTCTTTATACAAGTGCAAAACTCTTGAACTGAACGTTAAACCCACTTCAACTTCCCTCTCCCTTTCTGATAATGAACCGAGGGAAAATCAATTTTCAGAGAATACACTTCTATCTTATTTCGGTCGGTGTTTCTTGAGCAACCATCAGAGTGACAGTCAACCACTGGATTGGTTTGTGACCGGTGAGTGAATGAGTGTAGTTTTACGCCGCTTTTTCCAATATTTTCAGCAATATCACGACTGGGGGCACCAGAAATGGACTTCACACATTGTACCCATGTGGGGAATAGAACCCGAGTCTTCGGCGTGTCGAGAAAACGCTTTAGCCACAAGGCTACCCAACAGCCCCGTCAGCTGAGCCTTAAGACTGACTGACTGAGTTTGGTTTTACGCCGCTTTTAGCAATATTCCAGCAACATCACGGCGGGGGACACCAGAAATGGGCTTCACACATTGTGCCCATGTGGGGATTCGAACCCGAGTCTTCGGCGTGTCGAGAGAACGCTTTAGCCACTAGGCTACCCCACCGCCCCGTCAGCTGAGCCTTAAGAGGGAAGACAAGACAGTTAGAATGACGAACATCTTTATTTACTGTGGTTATGGATGTGAAAGATGAGCACACCAATTTGAGGATAGGAAACCCATTTAGACAGTCGTCAATAAGAAAATAATTACTTTAAAAACACAACAAGGAACCAAATGGGAGCTCCATTAAAACAAAATGAAGTCCGCATCTCGGGGCTGATGCAGATACCAATTGAAGAAATACACATTTGATTCCAGAGAAACAGCAACGGATTTGTGGGTCTGTTTAAAAGAGGACTGGGCGCCGCGAAACTGACAGCCCTACCCCATGTGATTCAACGTTATGAAGACAATTTTTCAGTCTGATGACTCAAATTAATGATGGATAATGCTTTATTACCTCAGCAGTTAATGGTTATAACACGCACATGATGTTTTACTTTCACAAGTAGCACTAATTACGTCTAGACCTAGATTGGGACACTCTTTAAGCCTGTTTGTTCTATAAAGGACTCCCAATGACGCCCCTCTACAACCTGACCTCTACCCTAATGCTGAGTATATCAATAAACTAATAGACGCTGAGTATTATTTGTTAAAATAATATTTTCAGAAAACTGCGAAGTTTTTATTTATATTTTTAAGGGAAAAGGTATCAAGGTGCCAGGATGGCAATTGTAAAATCAAGTTGTGTTCGATCCCTTTGCTTTTATTTTGATTTTGTGTTTTGTAATTGGACAATATTCAAACATACATTTTCTTTGTCACTATCTTATCTAAAGACATGTTATATAAGGCAAAAAAAACGATACAACGCGGCTGCTTCTTTTCTCCATATGAGAGTGACCCTACGTACAGACAGTCAGGAACCAGTCAATATAAAACGGGTTCATTGCTACGGGGCATTTACTTAAGAGGAATGAAACATTTATCTTTATGCATACACATATAAATGGCGCGTCAGCGAATGCATGTAATATTGAATTAACATATTTTAGGGCGATAGAAACGTCTAAAAAATGAAAATGTCGACGGAATATGTATTTAAAAAAATTGAAACGCGCTTCTGTTCCGACCCTGGACGAAGGATGACCCTTCTGACCTGTCCACATTGGAACTCATAAATAAGGTAACTGATTCATGTGCATATGGTTAACTGGTGACTGTGTTCTCACTGAGGTATATATACAAATACTCACAGGGCCTATCCTATAGCGCTTGTGGTTTCACAGATGCCTTACCAAGAAGTGACCATCTTAGTTCGTGTACAGTGTATTGTTTAATACTACGGTTATATCGAACTCAAACGAACCACTAATTTCACTTCGTGACAAACGCAGTTCGTTATATGCATTTTGACCAATGTTTTTCAGTAAGTTGTCAGGACCAGAAATACAGTTCGATATATCCGTCAGTTCGTGATATGCGTATTCGTCATAAACGTAGTTTCAGCATCAGGTCATTTCGCTTTACCAGTATGATATTATCATAACACGTTGTTTCAGAATCTTGCAATTGTGTACACGACTTACACCTAGCTAATTCTAAAGAGTCAGTTATAAGTTTGATAGAATATGGTCACTTCTCAACCTGCACTGACACCAATAATTGAAATCTGAAGGTTACCCCACCAGTAGCAGGGTGCCAATACCAGACGTATGCATGCATATACAGCGAATCTAGGGTATCACATGACTAGAAAGTACACACATCGATCGTCACAGCACGTCACAACGCTACGGCAAAAGGTTCAGCATTGTTCATAATAAATGTTCTTTCTACAAAACTGAATGCATTTACCACAATGTAAAAAGATTTACGCCCTATGTACATTCGACATTAATCTAAAAAAAGAAAGATTTCGTGTCGCGTACACTGGACAACAATGTGCCCAATGTTCTATTTGGAATTTCATTTTCTCAGTAAAGTACAGATTCTGATACTTGAGTCCTATCAGGGAATCGAACAAACATTCTCAGAATAAGGCACCTAATCGCATCACACAAAATCAGCACTAGAATCTCTACTTCGCTGAGGAAGCGAATCCCCATTATAACACACGTTACATTTGACCAGGCATTGTGTTTCCACAATAATGTACCCGTATTAGGGCAGATATATACTCATAATCTACCCAGATCTAATGAATATATAAACTAAATTTTCTATTTTAAGATTCTAAAATTCATTGATTGTACAAATGTATTCAGTCACCATCGAGTCAAAGGTCGTATCCGGCGAGCAAGCTAGCATGTCGCCACTCTTTAATTACGTATGAACTCCAGGAGTAAGAAACCGCATCTGATCTTGAACTACAAATCGATACATCCGAAACAATAACGCTAATTTCTACTGGAAAGCTATACAACTGTTCCTTATAGTTGATAGTTCTTTACATAAGTTCTCGTTACGTTTCAGGTTATTGGGACAGTCTTTTTATATTTTCTGTCTGAGCCGATTCTATAGCTCACAAAAGACACTAAATGGACAAATCACAACTCATGGCACTTTCTGTAGACATAATTTTACACCTAAGGGTATTCGAGGCCCAAAGAGACCATTTGAGGTTGTAAATACTGCTAACGCCATTTCTAAACTGCCGAGCAAAAGAACGCATACACCTATATTTGGTGGTGGTTGAAAATACAACAAACACGAATTTTTGTTTCGATGGTGATGCACGTGACATGGGTGTCACGGTTGTTTTGGACCTTCCACTGTTAGAGACGAGTTACGTTTTGGTAACGTTTGTAATGTTTTGGTCAAATCCAATTTTCAGGTGTATACTTTTTTTAGCCCGACAGTATATTTGGCTGAATTGAATTAACCTCTAGCCACACTATATCAACCTACATCATAAACAAGACAACGATGTTGCACATTTTGCTGCCACGGTAGATGATGCAACACAATATCTGGCAAGAGAAGCCTGTGTCCATTGCTGCAGAATGATGAAGTGTCTTCACAAGTCCGGCACAATTAAACCAACACTATAACACATTTTTCGGTTCTTGAAAAGGTCACAGCAACAATCACAGGTGAGGTACAGCGAGAGCCGCGATCAGAACAAACACGTCACTTCAAAGAACCACAGGCACACGGTAACACACTCGTCAAAGTCAAAGGTTTATTTTTTAAATAAACTTCAGAATCGGTAACAGAATGTTACGTGGATGCACCATGCGTTGATATGCGACTGATCGTTGAGCGGTAGGACGTACCCTTAGGTTATGATAATGCTGTTAATAGGTCACAAAGTCCTGATCTGATTGTCACAAATTCCTGGACTGGATTGGTCACATAGAAAGTGCGTCAGAAAGAAGCATTGTTATTGGTTGTTAGGAACACTTATGTTTATTGGTCAAGGACCATAAGGAATGGGCTGACAAAGGTGATCCATCTAGTTGGTCGGTTTTTCAACATGATACTAAATTTTGATCAGCAGTGAATCGAAGGTCAATGTTGCACAAAGCTTAGTAAAGATGAAGAAAGGTCACCATTGAAGCGCAGGATCAAATCCGCAGGTTCGGGTTTAAACTATCCAGTTAGCCATCCAATGGTGTTGCACAGGATGCGCGTATCTCATTGCGACGCATTTACACGACCATGTACCATCTCCATAAACTAGTACATCACTGCTACATCGTTGAGGTTGCCGTAGCAGTTGTCGACTCCACCCGTTGTGCACCACTGATTATCTGTTGCATCTTCGAGGTCTTTACTCCAGTGAGCACAGCCATGTTAATGTCCGTCGTACACTGCTGGAGTCGTCATACCTCGCCCCATCACGTGTTGCCATTTTCCTTGTCACAATCTTCTTCGTTGGAATCGTCAAGGTCGTCATCTGACTCCAACGTTGTCTGTGATGCTGCCTGGCTTGCAAGCATGATGCTGATAACGTCCACGTCGGTGGGGTCAACGAGGTCAAGGGGACGCTCACCCTCAGCTGTCAGGATGTGTCGATCTGCGCCTTTTTTCAGTAGAAACCTGAAGAAAAATATGATATGACAATAACAATAATAACGATGATGTTAGTGCTGCTGCTGATAAAATAATATGCTTTGAAAACGTATATCTCAATACGCAATGTATATTCGAAGCGCTGCATTCTTATTAACCCGGTCAGTGGATCACTTTTACTCTCGGCTCCCTGAGGAGTATCCGACCGAAGTTTCCCGTGATCCGCTTGAAGGTTAATAGTCACATACTACCATCTCACCTTCCCTGCTTAGCGAACAAGGGCATATTTGGAACTAAGTCATTTCCCAAAGGAGACGCTGTATGCGTTCCATGTGTTCCATGTTCTCCATGTGCTTCAGTATGCTAAATGAGCTTCAGTGTGGGCCAGGACCGAAACCTGAGAAACAGTCACAAGATACGGTCACCCATCCAACTCCTCTCCGCCACACTGTACGAGACGCAAGGGATACAAACATATTCTACCCAGAAACTGCATAGGGTTCGCAACACTTTAGATTTACTGACTATTTATTGCGTAAATATGTAAGAGTATTCACATTTCAGACTTCAGGATTTCTAATCAGCGACGGTATCGTACGTGCGAAATTTTATACACTGTAAAACCGAAAGCCATAAACAGTTAGTGTCTGCCAGTCTGTTTACCAATATGTGTTATTGTAACGCAACGCTCAGCGCCATTGTTGTATATTTTGTTTCAGCCTATTAGAAAGGCACTTACACTCGCAGAATATACCCTAGACAGGTTCTACATGATATTACTGCCTTCGCCGTGTAACCCGTGTAAGAAATATTGTCCTCGTGCCAAACATAACATCATTAATTGGAAACACATACTGAAATGTCCTCCGAAGACATTCAGTTCCCTTTTAGCTATTCTCACAACGCGTATGACATATCACATTTAGCATATCGCCAGGATTTATGCTAACTGGGTTAATTACGCAAGTAAGGGAGGACATTATTCCCATATCGACGGTGACGCTGGCGCTGCTACTGAGACGTCGAGAGAAGAAAAACGGAATGCGGAATGCCTAATGAGCAGTCTCTGCCCAACTGTTCTTCGGGAGAAACTGATAAAGATTTTGTATTTGTTGTTTAATGCCGCTATCATTAATATTGCAACTTTATCACGGAGGTCTGTAAATATACCGACTCTGGATCACATTATCAAGTGATTAACGTCTTGGGCACCGATCCACTCAAGTGGGAGTGAGTGAATGAGTGAGTTTAGTTTTAGCTTCATTCCAGCAATATCACGCAGGGGAAACCAGACGTGGGCTTCTTACACTGTATCTATGTTGGGATTCGAACCCGGGTAACCACTAAGCCATCCCACCGCCACTTAACTGAGAACTGATGTAATCAATCAAGTGTAGAAGACCGACAACCCGGTCAATTTAGTCGCCATTTACGACAAGGGTAGGTTATGAAGGGCGTATTTTGTTATTCGACATCCCATGGGTTCTTTGTGCAGTGTGGGTTCCTTGTGCAGTGTGGGGCGGTGGGGTAGCCTAGTGGTTAAAGCGTTGGCTCGTCACGCCGAAAACCCGGGTTCGAATCCCCACATGGGTACAATGTGTGAAGACCATTTCTGGTGTCCCCCGCCGTGATGTTGCTGGAATATTGCTAAAAGCGGCGTAAAACCAAACTCAGTCAGTCAGTCCTTGTGCAGTGTGATTAGTTCTTATATGAAAAGGTGAAACGTTTCACTTGACAGGGTGTAAGACACCTGAACTGAATGTTTTCATGGGTGTCTTGTCTTCCAGTTTAGGTTTAATAGCGGCGCCGGAATATCTTCAATTCCTCTATAGCTTAGATGCTTTCTACATTATGCATTAAGAATTGCAAAATTCAATCATTATGTGATAGAAATCAATAATTAATAGAATGAAATAAGGAGACCCACCGGACAATATCAGCGTGCCCTTCTGCGCATGCCGCATGAAGAGGCGTCCAATGATCTCCATCCAGCATGTTGACGTCAGCACCGTGATTAACCAATAGGCGAACAGCGTCACAGTTTCCATCGAGCACAGCTTGGTGAAGGGGAGTTAACCCTGAAAGGCAAGGCAGAAATGTTCAATACTGGCAGATATCAATAATAAACTCTTCATAGTTTGTTGTTTAAGTTGACAATAGCCCAGTCATATTTGTTTGTTGTTTTAACTCGAGAATATCCCAGCCACATCACGACAGCCTGTGGATAATTGTGTCTGGACCAGACAATCCAGTGACTGACATCATGAGTATCGATCTCCGCAAATGGGATACGATGGCATGTATCAACCAAGTCAACGAGCCTGACCACATTTGTTGCTGAAGACAGTTCCAACCCAGATCAGCATTGGAACTCTTCCACGTGATCATATGGACGGCCAAACGCACAAATATCAAAATATTCTTGACAACATTAAGTGCTTTTGTATAAGTAAAAAGTATTATGTTTTAAAGCAATTCTAAAAAAACATTGCTCGTCATAAACTTGTCTTGGGATGATATTCAGAAATGAAAGAATCACGCTTCCATTTCCTAGTCACACTCATATTGAATCAAAAAGTTAACATTCCATATTTATAAAATGTACATTCCACGTGATGGTATCATCACAAGACATATGATCTGAGGTCTATTTATTTAGGCACTTTTAAAGCAATCGGATACACGGCTAATTCAACAAATCCTGTCAGATTGACATAATGTATATTGTTGCAAGAAGTTAGTAATGAAACGGTCGAGTCGGTGCAATTATATAGCTGATTCAACAAAACGACTAAGCGCCCATAACGTCAATGCTATGTGGGACACCTGTGGTGGCGGATATTAAATTCACGCAACCACGAATCGTCTTCAGGAAGGAGAACCGCAGGGCACTAATTGAATCTGAGACGTTCAGTCAGTAAGTCCGCATTTTACAGCCTTACTTTTTTACCCCTTTCATAGTGTTACAGTGACCTTTTCCAGGGTGATAAACACATATTTAAAATTTCGTAACCGAGAAAAACATATTTAATATTCTTAACTGAGAAATACATATTTGAAATTTCTTAACTGCCTAAATGAGAGTTACATAATATATAAAATGTCCAAACTATGTTTAACAATGAATCACAATCAAGAAAATGGTCAAATGTAACATGGCATATTTGGCATTACACTTTCTGTAAAGAACTGATTTTACTACTTTTGTTGGGTCCCATTCGGGATTCGAACCCACGCTCTCAGATTCAGGCACCTAATCGCCAGCACACATATTCACGCATCTAACCCACACAGCCACCTCGTTATCCCAAATAATCCCAAACATAACATGTGATATAACCAACTTAACAAATGCATATTTTCTCACAGAAAATAAGTTAATATATGTTCTGTACATGTCAAACATTACTTTCTGTAACGTTCCTATTTTCCGGAAAATGGCGATGTGTAATCTGCTTTCTGGGTAGGGACTCGCTTTCATTTCATCCTAATCCCGAAATTAATGTACAGGGGTCTTAGCATGACACCCTGGCTGACTCCACCTTGGATTTCATTGGGTGTTGAGGTCTCCCACATCACAGGAGAATGTATGTCAACATATCAATGGGATATAACCTACTTCACCTCCATAGTGACGTCAAAGCCAGTAAGTCAGTCGCTCAGTAGTGTATAGCACTATATATCATCTAAGGAACATTACACTGTCACGGCCTGATTACAGCGAGACGCAGTCAACTGATCTCTAACACATTTCACCTCTCAATACAGAAACGTCTTGGGGGTTTTCTCCTTTGCGATGTATACGAATCCACCACTGTGGACAGGGAGTATTGGTAACACTATTTTATTACTTACTATCTGTATATTACAAATGCAGTAGCAATATTATGTGGCGTTCAATCACAAGGTAGTACAATACGGTCCACGTGGGAAAGGTAGCGATCACACGTTTTCGGGTTGTTTTACTGTAACACAATCAAAGGTAGTGATGTCAATTGTCTAATACCACATTAGATAAACGTGTAATTTATAACCGCAATAGGCAGTACACAATTACTCATGAGCAAGATTGTGCAAGATCTACCATGACAATATATAGTAAACACACGCTCATTAAATTTGATATGTTTATTTTTTCTATTGAACATCACAGTAGGTAGTAAACGTATGCCTATTTATAAATCTGAATACATGACACGTTTTGTGGATAACAACTTCGTTTTATTCTATATACATCGTTTCAGAGCTGATTCTCATTAACTGACGGTATTGTTGAACACTTCACCTGATGAGGAAGCAAGAATTGTGTGAAGCCCATTTCTGGTGTCCACCGCCATGGTATTGCTAGAATATTGCTAAAAGCGGCGTGAAACCAAACTCACTCACCCTTTTAAATTATTCTCTGAGATCTGTTAGACAGGCTTGCCCCCAGAGTGCCAGGTTGTGTAATTTACAACCACAACAGATAGTAAACATGTGTTTATTAACGTGTCAGGTTGTTTAATTTACCACCACAATATATAGTAAACAGGTGTCAGGTTGTGTAATTTATAACACGATAGATAGTAAACATGTCAAGTCCATTGGTATTTCAAACCTTTTAAATAAAGTCTGGATTAGTTATATGGCCGTTGTTGTTGTTGTTTTTGTTGTTGTTGTACTCCGTGGTAGATAAAACCAAGAGCTGGAATTTCCGATGTACTGTTCCAAAGTGCCAACTCAGTGCCATGTTTATTCCTGTCTACGCGAGTGGCCCTAGCTGAGTAGGGCCAGACTAACGCTTCGCCTCTGAATATTAACTACCGGACAAAAGAAAACTATCACCGACTTCCCTTGACAAAAAGCAAATAGAAACAAAGACGTATGTGAGATTTATGATAATTATTTTACAAACAGAAATCATTTTCCACTAATTTAACTGAAAATTCATTGTAATGCTGGTCTTGCATTTGCCGCAATTCATTGAGAAAGAGTCAAGGGGACAAAATTTGAAAATTACACAAATCAAGTTCATCAAAAAGTGCATAAAGAGTCACGTGATGAGACAGGAGCTTGGGGATAGTCATGAATAGCGAGTGTAACCACCATGGGCATTCATATACGCCAACACACGTTCAACAATTATATGTGTTACAAGGCTAAAGAAAGATATCACAAATAATTCCACTGAAATTAAAAAGGAGACTCAGTGAGATGGGAGAACCTGCACCTGAGGAAGTCTAACCCTGCTTCATCTAGGTTAAACATTGCAGAAAGTGCTGGGAAATAATGCAGTTCAGAGACTGTGAGAAGTCTAAGTGGGACTGCCATGCCAATACAGCCAAGTCTTCAGAACAAAGTGGTTCTCAGCCTGTGCGTGCATGTCAGTGATACAACGGTGTCTGTGCCAGTAACGTCGCCAAGAATAACGCGGAGAAGCAGTAAGCATATCATTACCCATCTCCGATCTACGTGTGGAGGTAGTTAATGATGAGCCTCATGAATACCTAGCTGCAGATGGCGAGACGGCGTGCAGATAAATACCGTTACCTTCTCCCTAGACGCATCCTCTGACATCAACCAACATCACCGTCGTGGCGACCGACATTACAGCAGTAATAGCACAGAATATAATGGTTGGCATACGGCCTTGCACGACGTCAATTACGAGCTGTTTTCTGGCTACAATTGCAGGAATCGTTTCCTTGGCAAGGAGGTAATGCGCATCGACTGAATGAGAATATGGTTAGAAATAGATGACCAATTCTTATTGTTACATGGGTAATTTAATTAATATCGTATATCACCGTATTAAACCGCAATGCAACGCATGCTTGCCCTTCTCGCAAACAGCTGGTGTCATTGAATTTCGTTTACCCATACACATATTTTGAAACATTATTTTGCCTTTTATGTCTAATGGAATCTCTTTATGGATAAACGAGGGTACAGAATATGTGGGTTTGATAGTTCAGCTTGATATCGATCTGTTTACTGCACTTCATTCGCCATCAGCTGGTAAATTGTGCTCTGATTCAACTGTGATCACGCAGCCGAGTTTAAATGGCCATCATTTGATATCATAGTGCCACAACGGGGTTATAACGGAAGCAATAAAGAGAAAACATTGCCAACATTATCCTTGTCCTTGAATGACTTCCCCGATGCACTTTGGCGAGATCGATAGAAAAACAACAAGTATTCTAACTCAGCTGACGTCAGCACTCAAACGTCGGAATCTCATTAACCCATTCAGAAGTTGTTTATCCGTACAGATCGGGACCCGTTTCCTATTGGGTATTCTACATGTAGACTTTCAGAATATTCACTTCTATAAGCAGTTGGATTCTGTAGCTTTTGTACCTATCGGCGATTACATCTTTCCTTGAAAGGTCCTACATCAGTTATATGGGTCCCTTATTACGTGACGTCAGCTGCTAAACTGTAGTTGCTCTTCTTCGACGAATGCTCCCCGCAAATAGAACTAGCTGATTACCTGGCTGTCCAATACTAAGTGGTTCAACAATGATCGCATTAGACTAAAATCTAATCTCTAAAATGATTTTTTTTACAGAAAACCGATTTCTAAATCATGTTTCCTAAATATAACAAAAAGGTGCCCAGAGACTATAAACTGTCGTAATCAAGACATGCCACATATTCTAGGCTTGCAAATACATACGAACTTCGATTTTTAAGTTTAATATCTACTGGGTAAAATAATGATTTGAACAAAAAGCACTACATAGCTAAGAGAACTGTCAATCCGTAGATTATATAAATAGTAAGAACAAGCTGTCCCTATAAATGACTGGCGTCCTTGAACTGTTCCCTTATCTAGACTTCCGTATTATTAGGATAGAGCTTATTGTATGACATGGCCGGAATCGAACCCCGACCTCTGCTCTCTGAGCATCCGATCTACTAACCATAGAGGTCCGTGTTTCTCCAGACCTTATTATATTTGATCATGTACAGAACGTCAAACAGAAGCTGAATGAGGCCATTGTACATTAAGCGTGGACGATAATTGTACTCCTGACTTTCATAAACGTGCCACAGCATCTATATACGGAAAGATTAATTATTCACGACATGT